TATTCCGATGTATGTATAGCACTTCTTTGACGATTTCAAATACCAAACTATGAAAGTTAACATATATAATAATAATAACATTGGGTACACCTAAAATAGCCGCATACTCAAACTTTTCAAACTCTGAATCCGTCATCAGCAATGAATTCCAAACGAATCGTGATTCGTGACAATGTTTTTTATTCGTGTCATACCTTTAACCGTAAATGGGGAAGAATAAAACGATAAGGTACAATGAAGAAGTGACAGATCGTTACAATGGGGAAAATAGGTTATAACTGTTTATATATGCCAATAAAATTGTAACAATGTAATAAATTATAGTTGTATCTAAATGTTGTTCGTAGTTAAATTAAAATAATAATAATATTATTGAGTAAAGAAACCGATGACGCATATTATTATTATACAGAGGACAGGCACATATATTTTTGATTTATTAATCTACATAAACGACAAAATATACTAAGTGAAGTGATCCAATAGAAAAATATAGCTACGTAAAAAAAGTTTTATCTTTTCAAGATAAAGCCCTATCGGTATCGTTTTGAACCATTAATACTAAAAATTCAAATTAATAAAAAATTCAAAAAGATGTTTACGTCTTTTACTACGATATTATGCTCTAAATCATCGACGTTTAACTTTATGTCACTGTATTGATTTTTACTTACACGTCCTAAGCCGTGACGTCAATAAGAGGGGGACTTCGGGGCCAACATTTTTTCAAGCCCTCCTTAGAAAACATTTGAATGTATTTTATTTATTTTTATTTATTTTTTTACTTTTTAGCCAAACTTTAAATTCCTATGGATACCTACCACTTGACTTTTTGGGCACTAGCCATGTGTAATTAATAGTTATGAAACAAAAACAGAAAAATTGAATTTAAAATTCAAATAATACATTGTAATACTTGTATAAATACAGCAACGTAAATATAATAAAAAGTATCTACAATTATAATTATAATTACATGCATAGGGCCAATATAATAAGGTATAATAAGTTAAAATAAAAAATAAAAATAAAAATTTATATTTTTACTAAATCAATTTTTTTTTTTTTGCTGTACGGTATAGAAACACCCCTTTCCCTCCGGAGACGCTCTAATTATCATTTTACACAAGGAGCCCTCCAAACATACTTGCACAAAGCCCCAATATTTTCACGGGCGGGCATAGATAAACAAAAACGCAGGAACGTTGGTAAGTATCGATCTTAAGAAATAATTAATTTAAGAAAAAAAACTAATAGTGTCGTATGATAAGTCACAACTGGCGGTATATTATTATATTATTACTGTGTATATCTACGACGTGTGTACAATAAACAGCTGCATCACCGCATAAACGCGCGTACGGCGGTCGGCAGAGTGAATATTTAAAGTAGAAGAGACCATCGGCCGTGTTACAGTACGTACCTACCTAGATAATAATATAATATTATATACATATATATATATATTATTATGTTGTATACATATATTATATATTATAATATTATGGTCTGTGTAGCTGTTAAACGCGTATGTGTCGCATTCCTCAAATATCCATACGGTCATGGTCGGAACATCAATCATAATATACGCGTTCTTCACTCACCGTATAAGTACGTTATAATATTATGCGGTCCGCCGTGTGCAAGTGTATGTATAAGGCATACACCGGCGGTTCACATTTGTCATCGCCGGCACGGATATAAAGTGTTTAGACCACAAGTCACGTCAATCAAATATGCGAGAACAAAATATGATGTTTTTTATTATTATTATTATTATTATTATCATCGTCGTCGTCGGTTTACCCTACGATTTCGGATCCGATATTTTACCATCTACATATATATATATATATATACATATACCTATACCTACCTATAGAAAATAATATATTTATCACTATCATTGTACGCACTACGCGCTATAGCACAAGTCTGGGATAATATATTAGGTTTGTACTGTACAGTATATTCTTGTGGCGATTCGCAGAACTAGGTATAGGTCACGGCGGTGAGAATATATTATACTTAGATACGTGTACCTATATTAAACAAAACGAGTATAATAATATGTACACGATAGCAGATAGATAGTATACATTGGTTATGATTTCAGAGAGAGCTAAACGTTTTTACAAGACAGTCGTAAGGGACTTTTGCCCCTCTGCCTTTTCGCCTCCTAAATGGACCTTGAGGGGATGTTAACTATTCTTCTTCGAAAATACTAAAAATTAATATATATATATATACATATTTAGTGTTTTATTTTCCTCATAAAACTTAATAAATATTTAACTTATTCATTTCAAATTTGAAATAAAGATACTTAATACTGTTTGATAGTTGGTAGTTGGTACATACTTCTTTTACAGAGCTCAAAGCTATTAAAATTGGTTAATATTATTAATAAATACAATTTGTTTTTAAATAAAGTATTTTTTTAATCATTCCTTGTGAAAACTGACAAAATCTATTAGAATTAAAATATTTGTTTAATTTGAATGAAATGAAATGGCGAAGTGTTGTACAGTAAAAACGACGAGGGTAAATAATTATCACTAGTCGGCGATGGTGACATCATAGTAAGCACAAGTGACATGAGTGAATTTTTAACAATTTTACAATACCACGTTTGAACATTCATTGTGATTTATGTGTACGTAATACAATTATACATCCTCTAATAATGAAACTACAAATCTCTAGCTTCCAAATGGCATACACAACACGTAGCAGGTTATTAGGACATTATTGCTGAAGCCTGAAGGTACACACATATTATACTCCAGTCGATTTCAGAAAATTAAAAAATACACATATGACATCTGAGCACTATGTTATCTCAATGTTACTTAGACGAAAAGTATTAGATTAGTGGTACTATTCACAAGAACGGTGAACGACTTTATGCGGTATTCCCGCCGTCAACAGGGGTACCCTCGTCATAGTTTATGGACGGGCGGATGGCCAACTGTTAACGGCAGAAATCCTGCATATAAAATCGGCCTCAGTGTATAGCACCGCTTATCTAGATATTTTAAAATCCGTTATAAATCGTCTACATTATTATTATTTGATCAGACAGAGAAAAGGAAAATTGTTTCACTGGAAAACTCGACTGATGTGTTAGTCAACACTGTTCAACACTACCAGACGAAAGAGACTAAGAGAGCCACTACCAAATGCGAATACCTTCGTACAAAATTGGAAAAAACCGAAAATAACCAACAACTGTTAAGGGAAACCATCGCTCTGTAAAATCGAGAATTATCAGAGTACCAACATTTATGTGACATGTTACAAAATATAGTAGCATCTAGCGAGCAGGGAAGACTCCGATTACGAAGAAGAAGAATCAGTGCACATGTCGGAAAATCGTCAACCGTCTCACATTTTTAGCGAAGACGGCACCCAAACGAAAAGTGAGAAACGCATGAATCATGAAATATTTGGTTTACTTAACATTTTTCTTGTAATTTAAATATTTTTATATAAAATGTATTATTTATCCAGGTTATTTGTGCATAGGATTACAAGCAATTAAATAATTAACAAATGAAAAAATAAATAATTTTGGTGTTGGGTAGAGAAATAAGAAACGAAATTTTACTAAGGGGGCCTATCCTAATAAATTGACATGCAAATTTAAAAAATCAGCTTTTTGAAGTATGTGCATGAATCAAACCTTAGGGCTTAGACGTATTTCCAAGAGGTCTCTATAATAATAAAATAAAAATAATCTTATAAGCTTAAAATTTCTGATGCAAAACAAGAAGAGATACCAGATTAATACGAATAATAATTTAGTAAAATATTCGTATAACTCTAAAAGCTTAAATAATTTTTTTATAAAAATATTATATTAACCATATTATCTTATTAAATTATTATCTTTCGAAGTTTTCTGTGTACGTGTATGGAGTAACCAGTAGACCGCACTTTGCATTCCACGTGGTCGAGCCATCATTAAAAACTGTTGAAATATCTTTTTATACTGTAGTATAATATAACTAAAGCTCTGAAAATACTGGTTTAGTAGCGGGGATGATTTATCATAACCGCTGTCTAGGTTAAATTTTTTTTACGAACTTAACAATTTATTAGTTTTTTTTTCGGCTATTTGAATCATAAACTTTTGACTAACCTAAAATATATTTCCTGTCTACCTAAATTGGCACCACAGTACTAGAATTTCGGATTACCACCCAATACGTCTCTAATAAAGTATTTAGGCGAGTATACAGAAAAACCGCTTCGGCCTTCGCATATTGTTAAAAGTGGCTAACGTGCACTCAAGAACAGCAATCAAAGTATTTAGAGAGGAAAGGTATTTAAAATTAAAATTTCAAACTGATAGTTGTAATATATTTTTTCTGTACCACTTTTTTGGTGTAACAGACCCTTGTAACATATTATCTTCATTTTTTTTTTTTTTTATTCTCCACTTCACAATTATGGAATCACGCAAGTGTAATAAATACTGTGGCTCAGACTCGTCAAGAGCATCACAATAATGAAACAAGTCATTCATGACAAGCTTATTCTACTACTCTTTTGTTTCGTATTTAGGAGCTTAAAAAATATGTACGACTGCATAAGTTGATAAAAAATGTGAGCTCATAATTACGAGTGGTAAGTCTAGCTTATAGACTTTATGAAAAAGACGAGTTCTCAGAGGTCGATTTTTGCACCGTCAATGTATTGAGGAAAATAATTTATATTAATATATTACACCCACATAGTCGACAATAGAATAAATGCAAAAACAAAAAATTACACGGCTTTGTAAATGTTTAACCAATTTGGTCAACCAAATTAAATTGGGAGAAAAGTATTACGAACACACTAATTAACAAAATGTATTCTCGAATGTATAAATAATAATTTTTTTTATTTTAATTAAAACAATTAATCTAATAATATGTACCTATATTTTATAACAATATATGTATAAAGAAAGTTATGCTCTAACTGTATTAATAGAATAGTAACAATAAGTAATAAGTTGATGTTTATAAATTAAAATAAGTATAAGATGAGATAAATAATAGTATAAAATAGAAAGAATAGGTAATACTATAAAGGAATAAAGCTTTTAAAAAAAAAAGATAATTGATCATATTTTAAACAATGGCAACATTTTTCTAAGATTATAAGAATACAAATTTTGATCATTTTTAGAGAGCTTGAAAATTAAGTCTGTCGTGTTGAATCTGAAAAAGATATTTTTAGTAATTATTAATCAAGCAACTTGAAACAGTTAACGTAGGAGTGAAAATACAGATTTAAGGTAGAGTAAGAGGAAACCAGTTAAACAAAAAACTAAGGGGTTATTACTAACTGTGGTTAAGACACATATACATTTTAAGAAGCCGCTCAACATTTATAGAAAAAGGCATAAAAAGTGAAGTGCACAAAAATGTATTATTTTAGTTTGCTAGCTTGCTTTAGTTTAATTTTGTTTCATCGACTATTCAACTCGGCTGCTTTATTCAGTATAACACTCATCTCAACATTAGGATAATTCTGTAAGCAAAGAATAGTTTTTTTATTAATAGTTTTTTAATATAAAAATAATATTATTAAACAATTACCTGCAGTAGTTTTACAATAGTAGGAAAATCTCCTTCAAGTATTTGATCTTTTATTAGACTGCAATAAACAAAAATATAGATTAAAATAAAGAATTTGATTTTATTAAATCTATTATATACTAACATTATCATAGCACAACAAATGTGGATCAAAAATGAAAATCGTTGAGCATCAGAAAATAAAGAATCCCATATCCTTAACACTTCTGGCAAAGAAAACTCTTGTGACAGCATTAATGTTAACCATCTAAGTATAGGAAATAAATATTAGGATTAACAATTTGAAATTTAATAATAATATAATAATTTATCCATCACTAAACAATCTCACCTAAAGCTGTAATATTGGGGATGAATTTCATTATTTATTAAATAACTATGAAGAACTGGGTCATTTTCTTTCAATTTTTTGGTAACTTTGTGCATCATACTAACAATACCAGAGTCTGCTTCGTCTAATGTTTTTATAAAGAAATCTCGTATTTCAGACATCAGATTTGTAAAAACAAAAAAACAGTCGGCTTCGGCGTGTTCTAAAACAAGAATTTTTTTTTAAAAATCCATTGATTTAAAATATGATAAAAAAATATACTTTTCATTTTAACAATTGGATCGGTTGCAAAACAATAATAAATCGGTCCAATTATTTCATTCATTCCCTGCACGTATCCTTGTCCAGGATTCAACTTACAATACACAAACAAAATTCTTTCCACAACTTCCCAATGAGCTTCAGAACCTTCTTCAAGTGGCTTAAACTCAGATGTATTTTTTGGTTCGGGTCTAGCTGATATTTTAACAATCCCGAGACCTTTACGTTCGACATTGGCGCTATTTAGAAAATGCATACCTACCCTTCTATTCAGCCGTTTAGTACCATTGCTATTTACGACATTTACTTGTGGATATTCGGTTGCTTGTTGAAAGAACGATAGTTCAGGATGCAATCGTCTGAAAAATGTATTAGATTTGATTAAATTTAAGACATTAGGCATTTATAATTAAATAATTAATCACCTGACATCTTTGTCTATTTGTGTGAGAGCTTGGTTATCTTTAAAAAATGTATTCCATTTACTATTTGGCTCATCATTTAACGGATGATCACTTTGTTCATCGTCAATTGATCCCGGAGTAACCAATATTTCATCTACAAAATAGAAATATCAAAAATTATTTTTTATTGGACGTTAAGTTAGTTTAGGTATTTTTAAAAACTTGAACAATTTTACATAATCATTATTGAATAAAAATTATACCTACATTATATTCAATAGGTAATTGTAAAATTAGTTTTTTAGGTATTTAATATGTTGTAATTAAAATCTAACAACTTGGATTTTAATTTTATTACTGATATAATGAAAACCGTTTATATACAGTTATAATTAATTAACTGAGTAATTCTAAATCACTTGTAGTTTATATTTAGTTATTTATTAACCTAGCCACTGTTGATACAAATTGCGATGATGATTTAAGTGTTCATCCCACTTGTTTTTGTCCAACGGTAAGTAGTTGAGCAATAATCTCCAACACATGGCTCTATAACCTTTTTCATCAGGAATCCCTAAAAAAAAATTAAAATTTTTAAAATCTTCAAGCATAAGCTAATAATTTTAATGATAAAGTTACCATTAAAACAAATGTCTCTCAGTCTATTCAAATCAATTTTGTCTGAATCTAAAACTTGATCGAGATCCTTTAATCTGAAATAAAATAAGAATAACTATCGGTTCTAAACATCCGTATACAATAACAGCTTACTTTAAGATCTAATAGTCATTAAATTAGTGAAACATTCAATTTTACCTTAGGTCATAAGCTGACATTTTGTGCAACAGGAAAAAAACCAACGTTAAAATAAAGTGTAGATTTTTCAAATTTTCCACTCAAAATCATGCCAATAATAATCGTATTTGTCATCTAGGCTGACAAAATTTAAAGACAATCGATTACTTTTTAGGCCATAGATTTGTCCAATTTCTCTCTACGATTTACTAATAATTATTAGGTATCATCGCTATAGATGTGAAATAAATCGAAAGGTTTGACTGCACACTGTTATCAAAAACGTTTGCCTTATCAAAAACTGAATGTTCTGTTTATTGTTTAATGTTCATCGTCAATCGTTTCATCTCTGATCCATCGTCACTCATTAGTCATTATTAACTGATTTAGTTTTTACCACAGAATACAGATTAGATAAAACACTAATAATTAATAAATACATTTAGAAAAACTTTTATCATCTGTGTTTCTACTAAATAATAAATTAATTAAAAATTTACAATCGACATTCTGGTTTTCTTCATGTTGGTCATATTATTTGGGATTTTAGACGCATTTGTGTTGTATTAATTATAGAGAATACTTTCGCTTTAACCTGTAGGTTAAATGTGATGAACAAATCAAAAAAAATAATGAGTTCCGACAGTAAAAATGTTATTTTATTGACATTGAAGTGTGAAAAAAGCAAGTATTAATACATGAAACAACTAATAATAGATTGTTTTTAATAGTTCTAATTTGATTTAAGCTGGAAAATGTTACAACTTGTTGAGCAAAAAAAAACATGTCGTGGCTAGATGGGGATTTGATGGTGATTTAGAAATAGCTAACGACTTGTCGGTCAGTCGTCGTCATGCTGAAATAACTCTTTTAAAAAAAGTATAAATTGGGTATTTTAATGATTTTACACAATTGCAATTACCAATTTGTTTGTTTTTAGTCTATAAATGGAAATAATAATCTCTGTGTTGAAGTCATTGATCTGAACTCAAAATTCGGAACATTTATCAATGAAGACATTGATCGTAATATCCCTGTTGATAGTGGAAAACCTGTAATATTGAATTTAAACGATAGAATTCGTTTCGGAAGAATGAAGAGCATTTGGACGTAAGTGATGGTTATATTTTGCATACTGTTTAAACTACTTGTATCGTTGTCTTGAATAATTTGATTAAAGGGTTGCAAAGTATCAAATCATAACATGTCCTTCGACGTTAAATAGAGCTGACAAAGAAACCTTGAAGGACTTGGTTACCAAATTGGGTGGTCAGATATCTACAGAGTGGTCTGAAAATTGTACTCATCTCTGTATGAATTCTATTTCAATTACTGAAAAAGCATTATTGTGTTTGGCATCAGCAAAACCAATAGTAAACCTTCAATATTACATCGATCTCTTAAGAGCACTATTACCTATTAGTTCTTCACTGAACTTACCGTTTTGTGCGAGTTATATACCTCCTTTGAAAGAAGTTCTTTTAAATATTCAGACATCTGCATTCGGCGTGAACAATAAACGCACAAGATTATTCTCAGGACGTACATTTGTATGTTCAACTAAAGAACAGTTGATTCGCATTGAAGAAAAGGTTAAAGCATCAGGTAAATAAAACAAACAATTTATTTAACCCTTTTTTGTAATCATGCCTATTTGTTGAAATAGGTGGAAAAGTAATGCATTTCTTAGACATCGATATGAACACGGAAGAAATTGTAAAGTCAGTTTTTCATATTATGATGCAACAAGATCCATTCAACAAGAATGATATTAATAGATATTTACCCATTTTAGGTAAATAGAAACATTGGTATTGATTTCACAAGTTATTCAGTTAATCATAGATATCCCAATAATAATAATATTTGAGAACGAAAATTTTTTAATTAAATTCAACATGACTACCTATTAGTTGTAGTAATTTTTTTTTTTTTATGTATATAGAAAAGTTGAAGGATTTAAATAAGAGACCTATTCCAGAAAATGATATCAGCTTAGGTATCATTAATGTGAGCATAAGTAAACATTGTAATCCTGAATATGACTTTGCTTTGGTTAATATTCCATCTCAACCGGTTGAATCCGAAACACCTGTAATTTTAGCTCCAGATACTGAGGTATACTAATGTTTACACTACATATATGATATATATTTTATATATTAAGCATAAAATCTACAATCGGGTTTTTTTATTTTTAGATACCTTCTTACAATGAAAGCATGACATATTCAGTTAATATTGTACCAGATTCACAGGCATCTTTACAATCATTTAAAAGGTAATAAAAACAAAACATTATAATAAATTGCAAAACTATTTAGCAACATTGTAAAACTATATTTTATCATTAAAGCCTAAACTATAATAGTTTTTAGTGTATAAAGCCATTATTATAATAAATACTATGTTTTAGACCCCGTGAAGAAATATCAGATTCTGAAGATATTGGTTTGCAAAAAAAAAAAGCTTTTATAAAAACAGAATTAAAAGAAGAAGACTTAAAGGAGAAAATAAATGAGGAACAAATAAAAGATAAAATAACTAATGACAACATGAAAATAGAAATAGTAGAAGATGGATATCATTCAATATTTCGCTCATCAAATTGTACGCAATTAAAAATCGAATCAGCAACTGTGGATTCATGTTTGACTACAGTACCGCCAACACAAGAGAAAACAGTTCCATTCCTGACTTCGGTTAGCCAAGTACCTCCTCTCACTGCTAGCACTGATGTTCATAACAATCATCCCACATCTAATTTCAACAGTGGTACAAAAAGAAAGATCCAAGAAACCAGGCCAATTAAAATTGAAGATGATGATGACAATGATGAAGAATTATTTGATTATAAAGATATTGATGAAATAGAGAGGCCTACAAAAAAACCAAAAAATAATAATTTGCCGTCGATATTTGGTACTCAATCATCAGATCTCAGTATTAAATATAAATCTAATGTATCTAATGAAAGAGATAATAGAAATATGGCAATAGATCCTAACTATATTATGAATTTACTCGCCGACGCAAAAGACACAGCACAATTTATCGATACCAGTATTTTAAGTAACATATCTGTAAGTATATAAATTTATGTACACACTAAGGTGGTCCTTAAATAGTCGATTTTCGAATTTTAACCTCGAAGCCCCCTAAAAATGTTCTAAATACAATGAAAATAAGATTTAAAAAAAAAATATATTAATTTTAACCCGTGCCCCATAAGAGTTGAAGTTTAAATGGGATTTGACATAGGATTTCAAAACTTGTGCACAAATCCATGCATAATTTTTTTCCTACTCCTTAGTTTGATGGTTTTTATAGCTTGGAGTCTGCTAAACACCAACGCCATACACAAAAGTTCATACCTGCCAAAATTGTTGCCAGAAAATTAAAATTTAACAAAAAATAGGTGTTTTTTGGTACTTTTTATGATAACATTGTATGTAATATACCTGGGGGGATGTTGCTTGGTCCTGAAACCTAATATTTGAGTTCAGTGTATCACAATTTTTGGTAACATAGTACAAAAATTAATAGATTCAACTTGTTCAATAACATTCAGAATAAAGTTAACACTGATGTAATAAGTTAGTATAATCCTAGCAAACCGAACATTTTTGACAGTACTGTTATCATCTGCCGTCCCCACAATATTCTCTGGGCATCACCCGGCGATCGGGCTGTTCACTAGATTTTAAGTCGAAATTATATTTTTTAATATAAAACGTAAAACAACCCCATCTATTTGTGTTCTCTCTTGTTTGAAAATAAGCTAAAAAAAAGTACCAAAAAACGAATAATTTTTGTTAAAATTCGAAAATCCACTTTTTAAGGACCACCCTAAAGTACACCCAGAAACGGATTTGGAGTAATAGCACTCCTAAGATATCAGCTATTTTCTGCTCTCTTAAAAGTTAAGAATATTATTTTATAACATGCACCGGCAGAGGTCAATAGCGGCTTCTTAAGGAAAAATAGAAGGAAGAATAACAAAAAATTTAAATTTGTATGTATGATTCTTGATAATATAACTGAATTCTAGGTAAAGTCAGAGCTAATGATGAAACTTGAAACAGAAAATAAAATAAGACAAAACAATAGTAAAAAAAAAAAAATTGTTTTCCCAAATTTATAATATTATTTTGCTACAAAAAGTTACTACCCAACTGGAAAATGTAGTCCTAGGCTCTATCCTAGTTAGCTCTCACCTAAATCCATCTCTGGTGTACATATTGTTGTAGCACATTTTAACACCATGTAAATATTTTTTTAGAATAACGATGTGTGGGACCAGCTGGAGAATAAAGAATTGTTAAATTCCGTCATTATTGAAACCAAAAGTATGGTTATAACTAAATCGTCAGCAAAATCAAATAACAGTAATCGTTCAGAAAATTTTAGCTCTCTACCAAACTTTAAAAAGTTCAAAAAGGTAAAAAATTATAATTTTTTTTTAAATAATGCACAAACTAAAATATTGGATTTTTCATTTCAGAAAGGGCCATTAATGCGAATTCCTCATATCGTTCCATTAACTCTCAGCCAATTCAGTCACGAATAATAAATTCAATCTTAATAAAGAATTTTTTATTTAAATATGATACATATTTTCTGTTATGTTTTGTTAAGTAAAAGAAATATAATGATAAATACATATTATTTTTTCAAAAAATATTTTTCAGTAATAATTTTGTGATCAACATTTTACCTGAAATTAAAAATCTAGTCCATAATAGTCGAATTGAGTTTAATATCCATTTTACTAAGTTGAAGTATAGTTTCATTCAAAAAGACACTAGTTTTCACCACTTCCTGAAGGCTTGTATTGTCGCAAGCAACAAAATCTAAGTCTACACCAGGCGCTCCTATACAAGAATATTACGTCATTGCATGGGATATTGTTTAGTACACATTGTGTCATTGCTAATTACCGTATCTTTGCAGGCTATCCCATTCTTCCAATGCCAGAAGCATTGGCTTAATGAATTCAGTACTGGTATCCTGTTCGACCAAGTTCTTTAAATGATTTTGTTGGTGTTCATTTAGCATTACCCAATTTTGAAACGTTTCTTTCATTTCAGACACTAAAATAATAGCAATAGACTATGTTTCAACTTTAAAATGAACATAATTGTAAAAGTTTATAATTACCAAACGGAATTAAATCTCTCAAAAAGATTACAAATTGATTCAAAGACATTTTGACTGTTATAGAAACGGATATAAATTAATTCAAAACACTGTAAGAATTTTCCAAAACTACTAAAACTTGATACTACTTAAGTAAGAAAACCGAATGAATCAATTATATTATTCACCATAGATTGAGTTTTATGTTTACAAACTCCTTGAAGCACATGAATATTGTTAGATTTAATAAAAAAAATATCTACGTGCATTACATACACAGTAACAGTTACCATAGATTACCTATTTAAAATGTTAAAAACAATTTAAAATGGTGTATACTGTTTGAAGATCGAGTAGATTCGCGAAGCTAAAATACTAAGAGTTACATATAATTAGTTAAAATCATATTTAATTTTTTTTTGTAATTATACTATTCATTAATCTAAATTTTCAATTCCAATTTTTACCATTTAAGTGCACATAATGTAATGGTTTATATAAGATGTAAGAGAAGTTGTATGTTATTAAATTTGTTTTCATAATAGTGGTTTTTAAGATGTCAATAAGCAAAAATAAAACAACAATTGCATAAAATAAAATAAAAATATATTTATTATGCTTTAGCTTTAACAGCCTTTTTAGCGACCACTTTTTTTGGACAATAAGTTTTCTTAAATAGAGCTTGGTAAACGTTAGTCCTGATCTTGTTTCTGACTCTCCTGGCTCTCTTCAACTGGAACCTTTCAAAGTCTCCCAAAGACGCACGCTATAACAAATAAATAAATAAGAGAAAAAATGAATAAAACATTGTAGACTAGTGCCATACCTTCTCTCTGTTGGCTGCTTTTTCGGCCCATCGGCTTTGAATCCATAGTTTATTCAAGTCAGCTTTTACCCAAGCTTGACGAATGGTTCTAGTCGATCCATTATATGGGAAACTGACTTTGAATTTGGTCAAATGAATTTGACTGATACGCATCTTAGATCTGGGTACACCAGATTCTGGTCCATCTACTAAAACCTACAATTAAATATAAAATTTAATTAAATTTGTAATACCTACATTAAAATAACGTTTATTAGTAAATTTAATAATTACCGTCTTTTGGTCGATGCAGTCAACAATACAACATATTTTACCCTTGTATGGACCGTCAACAACGTAGACCACTCGGCCAGTTTCAACAAACCTCTTGAAAGGCTAAAAAATAAAGGTATTTTATTTAACTTTTATACTTTATTAAAATACTTAATATATACATTACATTCTATCATGGATCCAAAGATCAACACAAATAATTACATGACCTAAATATGGCTCGTTTGTGGAAGCAAAAAAAAATTATGATGTCTAAGTAATCTACCCTGGTATCTGTAGTACCAAGTTTAACAGATTTAAATTGAGAGTACATAAAGATAATTTTATTAAACTTTTAAGGAAATAAACCATTATAGAATTCAATTTTTTACATTCAGGTTGCTTTTCTGAAATATATCTAGGTAGATATTATGTTTTTAGTTAATTTATTTGTATGCTTCATACACGTTTTGGATCTTAATTTATACGAACATTACTAACTAATGTTACTTATTGTTATCTTAATTAAAAAGGTGGCTACTTTTTTTTATCTATACCTTCTAGCATAAAAGTAAAATCATTCATTTACATTTTTCATTAAGTGTTTAAAAATACAAAGATGATAACTAATTCAAATTATGTTGCATTAGCCATACCATCAAAAAATCAAAATCGAAAACACGCAATTTAATTTTTCGAGAACTTTAACTATTAAGACAAGGATTGTGAAGCTGTTTTATTTGATTAAGACGATGTAGGTTAATAATTATAAAAATATGAGTAATTATACACAAAATCATTAGTTTACTTACCATTTTTTCAAAAAAAAGTCAGCACGATGCGCCTAAAACTTCTAAGAGTACGAAAAACTTCAAGAAGAACGAGTAGTGAGTACGAAGTAATCATAACCTCACATTGGCCACGGTAAAAGATGTCACAAACGCAAGATGTCGATCATGGAACACATACGCAATATGTATATCAACGTTTTTCTTCCATGAATAAAAAATAATTTTCGTTTTACTTATTTTAATTATATTGAACGTTCTAACTTCGAATAAAGAAGTTAGAACGTGTAATAAAATTTAAATGATATTGAACAAAAATTAATTTAAATAATTAATAATATTCGAGATCTGCAAAAAACAAAATTCATTACAAAGAACTGTTGTGCTAGCTTAAAATACTTTCCCATTACGTAGGAGTTTGGAGATTAATTTTAAAAGAGATTTGTAGGAAGATCCATTAATTGTTATTTATTTATTAAAATGAGCCGGTCTTCTTCTTATTTTATTTCTTGTGTTGTCAGTAAAATATCGTATTTTTTTACAAATACGATACGAATCTCAACACTTCCTTAATTAAAGCGTAATAAAATTGATTTATAATTACACGCCAACTTGAAAATTAAAACGGTTTATTATATTAACAGTTCTAGCCCGTTAGGTTGATCATTCATCATTTAACCGTTTTAAAAGACAACGTTCGTAAGTCGCGCCAATTAGGTTAACAACTACAGCCCGTTTTTAAAATAATTAAAACGGTTTTGTTGTAATGTCTTCATAATAAAATTAAAGAAGTAAATAATTAAAAAATAGTCGAAATTTAACAGGTTTTACGTTTTATTGAGTTAACAGTTTTACAGGTTTTACAGGTTAACGTGTTTATTGATTTTCTTCTAGATGCCAACACGTACAAATGCCGTTATCAGGAAATGTGGCCCATGTTTTTCAATGGGTAACTTTTGATAAAAATAACTTGGTAATTCTTCAGCTCGTGATAACCGCAAAATGGCTGCTAGTTCTTTTTTGGCTGTTGTATATTTTTCATGAGAAAAATATGGCAGACATAATGTAAGAATTGATAATACGACTTGCAGACATACCTGAAAATTTTGTTACAGAGTAGGGAAGCCATTTTAAGTTTTGCTTAGAGTCAACTGCTGAGATAAAGCACTTGGCACAAAGCAAGTGACAAAACGCTTATGTGAGTTGCGACTGGTGTCGATTAAACCGAACGTCCGAGTCATTCGAAGAAGATACACAAGACTTGATAATCGTATTCCGCATTTCTGAATCCTTGTCAGTATTTTCGTTCATCGTTTTCGATAAAAATTGTTCTTTCCGCACCTAAAGTTGGAAGTTTTCCGTTAGCACTATTTATTATAGAACACACAGCAACATGTCCTATAGACCCAGGTAACTTTAAAAATAATTATTAACAATAATTAAATACGTTTGAGTACTTACTTTGTCGTAATCTCATCTATTTCAAAACATGAATAGTGTACGAATTAGTGTTGTAATTTGGATTCGAATATTCGAATACCTAATTTTTAAAGATTCGAATATTCCAATAATTATTTGAATAGTTGAAAATTGTATACATTTCTATTTAGAGTATAACTCCTACTTTGATCAATAAAACTATAAAGCTGGCATCAAACTTCATTATTAGGAAAAAAACTATTCGTAAATTAATTATTATTACTATTTGAATATTCGAAGGATTCAAATCCTTATTGAGATTCGAATCCCGAATATTCGAATGTTTCCCATCGCTAGTACAAATCTATTACTTAGTAACAGATTCTTTGAAATTGATTATAACTGACTATATAAACTTGTACAATATCATTGTGAAGTCATCTTGGTCTTTTCCAATTTTTTATGTTTAGCCGAGGAAGTTTTGGGAACTCTAGGGGTAGAAGTCGAGGGAGTTCATATAACTCAAATTATAGCAGCTCTAGAGGAAGCCGTGGAACAGGAGGCTTTAACGACAACTACCGAAGCCCTAACCGAGGTAGTAGCTCATATCGTGGGTCACGTGCTAGTAGCAGAGGAAACAACGGATCATGGTCAAATTATAACAATGCAAATCGTAATTCTGGATCTAATTGGTCATCTCCAAGTGATAACAATTATGAATCTCGAAACCGCTATTCTAGTAAGTTTAGTGTAGTAATAATTTTTAAAACATAAATTATACTTATGCCATTAACTAAATAATTGACATTACTAATTTAATTTACCAGCTTCCTGTATTTTATTTAACTTAATTTAGTTTTTCTTTTACAAAAGTTTTGAATTTAAATCTGCAGTATTCACTAGTCTTTTGAACTAGTTAAACTTTAGCATTGAATACTGTTATGCTAACAAATACAAAGTAAAACAATAATAGTTTGCTAGTAAAAAATATGTCAATTAGTATGTTTATATAATAGCGTTAAAATGGTTTGAATTTAAATTGCTTAAAATATTTTAGCTTAATAATTATTAAATCCGTTTATGTGTCCTATGTGTTTATGTGTTTATATTAAATTGGTTTAGTAAACATTTTTAATGAAAACTGATAACTTTGGCATGATTGTAATAATAAAAATTGAAAACAAAAAAGCGGTAATTATACTATTTACTAAATTGATAAATCATTTTATACGTTTCAAACGGTTTTAATTTCTTAAACTTCATAGCCCGTGCATTTTAATTTTGAAAACTGTTTGATGTTTTTAAACCTGCCAGTTTTGCTTGTGTTGCTGAGCTATACCGTTCACCCACATCATACTCTTTTACTTTTGTAATTAAATCGCCAAAATTCAAGTAACTATAACTTTTGAATTTTAATTATTTCAAAAATAGACTTAAAAATCATTATACTTAAGCCTAAGAAATAAATCTCCAAAAAAATAGTTGTCTGGTAAAGTAATAGATATATCCTTTTTTTTTTTTTTGTGGAAGAAAAATGATGGCGCTACGAGGGAGCACTTCGCCCTTGCAGGCAGTCATTCCTCTAACGTAATAAGTAATAAATAAATCTAGATTAAAAAACCTAAAGTAATAAATATATCTAAAAAAAATCTTGAGCAACATTTATGGTTATTATATAGTAAAGAAATAAAATAATGAAATTTGTAGAAATCCTTAACCACAAAAAATAATACACTTTAGCGCAAACATGTATTTTGGCAACAATGTTCCATCATTAGCGCTTTCAACAGACTGAGTAACAAACTAAGTATTTACGCTTAAGTGTATAATTTTTTGTAGTCAGGGCTTTACACCGCCCATTTCTAAGGAGTAAAGTATAGGCAATTTTTTGCAAAATCTTAATTTAAAGGTTAAACTGTAATGTGTGAATTATAAATTCAGTAATTATTAAGATTCTATTTTGGTAATTTATTTATTTTTCCGACTATCACAGTATCTTTGACAGCGGTTTAAAAAAAAAATTCATCTTAACATACCTATGCGGAATGCAATTTACTCGGTTCATAATGATTTTAGAGCAAAAACCCTCTTAAGGTTTTTTTTAAAATTATTTCATTTTTTTTTCCTTACTTATAAATATATTATGTCTAATTTTAATGATTTTATGAAATTAACAAAGTTTTTTTTACGTAAACTTTTAGGTAATAATGATCGTTACTCCAGTAGTCATAGTGATGACTTTAGGCGATACAAAGAGGTATGTAAAATACTCAATTATTTTTCTTAGCTATTTTATTCTTATTTTCTCATTATTTTATTGATTCGCTATGTAGTTTTTATTCTTCACATTCAACTAGGTAAAACTATAAAAGGGAAGTAATATAGATAACAGTTCCGCCTTTATGTCTTATTCTAATGAAATAAAAAAAGGTAAAAATAGGAGATTAAAATATTTTAGTTTAAATTACTAATTGCATACCTTTAATTGTTTTTCCCAATTTTATCACACAGTCATAACATTTTATTAAAATTTATACAGTTATATTTTTGACGTATAATATATACTAATTTGATATAAGTCAATTATACCGAACTCTCGATTTTTATCGATGCTTATTTTGTAAATGACTCCATTTTAATTGAAATTGCATTTAACCATCGATATTGTATATTTAGTTTCTATAACTGTTAATATTTTTGTAGTTTTATGCATCTGCCCAACCTCTAATCTTCAATTTAGGATATATTTATGAAGATGACAATTAAAGAAAGTATTACATGTATAAAAATTGGAATTCACAAAACTAAATGCTAAAGTAATACTCAACAATGAATTGTGGATAATCTTAAATTTATTTCTTATAACTAGAAAAAGTTTTTAAGATATTTGTCTTTCAAGTTAAAATTATTTTCACGTATTTTTGTGAATGTCTAAATACTTGATGATTTCAAAAATAAGAATATGTTTTATTCTTTGGAATGATTATATTCGAAGTACTACAGTGTTGACATCTGTGAATTGGAGTCCAATAAATATTTAATATGTGCGAGTCAACAAACGATGATTAAAAATTAAAGACTGTCAAGAAAAAACAACTAATGATTTCCATGGAAGACAGTTTTATTATACTATATATTATTATTTTATGAATATAATAATAATGTGTGTGATTAATTTTGTTTTGAGCTATTAATGAATAATTAAATGATATGTGTCATTTAAATCTGTAGTCAGAGTATGCGTGTAAAATAAAAAAAAAAATTAGATTGACATATTCATTAAAAAATTGCACGCAGGGTGGAAGAAGTCACAGAGACTCGGACGTAGGTGGCTATGCAAGTTCCGGCGATGATTATGGTCGTTATAATGGTGGTAGCAGTTATTCTGAAGAACGTAGTAGCAGATCGTCCTATGCTCCAGAAAATAGCTATGGAGGAAGTAGCAGCGGGTACAGAAGTCGTGAAAACTCTCGTGACTATGGTTCAGATTTTCGCAAACCCCTGCCTCCTAATGACATCCGCTCACCACCATCATCTCCAAGATACTCTAGCTCCTCATATAGAGGCAGAGGTTCTAGAGGGTTCCGTGTGGCCGATAGGCCTGGAATGAGAGGTAGATCTTCTGCTAGTGTCTCATATAGAGGTTCATATGGGGGCAGTGCGGGATTGATCAAACGGAAACGACTCGAACCTCCAACTAGTAGTTGGCGGCTGAATCCAGTACGTAAAGGATATGAAGCTGCCAATAAAAGGATACATGCAGTCAAAAGGTAAATAAATGGCGACTGTCATGTTTATGTGAAGAATAACAGAGATAAAAGAAAGAAATATATTATATATCATTATTTAAAAAAAAAATCCGATTTGCTATTATGATTTATAAGCTACATGGCCTAATAGTGTTGTGCCAAATCAATACAACTGATAAACATATTGAATCGTGTAATTAACTTCCTTGTGAAGTACTTATTGACAATCAGATATAGATAATCAGTCTAAATTCATTAATGATTATCATACTTTCTTATATGCACACTCATTTAAAGTTTCAAAAGGATTATGTAGAGATTGTAACATTAAAATTACATATTCAATTATTGATATTGGATATTAATGTAATTTTGCCATTATGCATTGTAATAATATTCTAAAAACATAAATTATGTTTGTTGAATTATTTGTATAATAGAATAAAAAAATGAAGTAAAACTCACGAAGACCTAATTTGTGGATGAAGTCACAATGATTAATTACAATAAACTTGTAACAATAAATATAGTAATCAATTTTTAGTGTATAATAAGCAAAATACACATTTTTACTATTGAAAAATAAAATGGAAGGTATTGTGTGATGATTACATTAGACATTAGTGCAGAGAACATTTATGTCTATTTTTTTTTATATTTAGTGATAAAAAAAAACTATTAAATTTAATTCACCCATTTTTAATATTCAGTGGCCATCTATTCAAATATCCAGCTTGATAACAATTGTATAGATCAAAGAACTTGACTATAATTTAAATATTTTGTGATACATATTGGTTCTCAAAAGAAATATTATTTCATTTAAGCATTATATTATTATTTAACCTTAGATTTTCAATGATCTCAGATTAGTGGGCAATTTAAGTCAAACATATAATAATGGTTGTTTTGGCTTAGGGAATAAAATAAATCATTTCAACTGTATGATTAATAAATTACCTGGGTAGTCAAAGAGTCGATATTAAAATATTTTGCTCATTCAGTATTTTATTATAATAATACAATTTAAAATGTTTTATTTAATTTTTTCTTTTTAACAGAACTAGTATGCGGGATCAAAATGATTATCGTGCTAGAAAAATTGCTGAATTTAGAGAAAAAACTCGAGTATGTATTATAATTTATATGAATTAGTTAAATAAAGTCTCCATTAATATTGATTTTATTTTATTTGAAGCAATTACGTGAACGTGTTAGGTCACCTTCAGCTGACGAGGAGGAGGTAGAAGAAGAAGTGGAAGAAGAGGTTGAAGAAGAAGAATCTGAACAAGACGAAGGAGAAAGAAGTACAGAAAGTGATGTACAACCTAAAAAGAAAAGAAAGATTGTTAAAAAGATTATAAAAGTTACAAAGAAGGTTAAGAAACCTAAAGTGAATGGTGAATCTTCTAAGTCTGGTTCTGTCGATAAATCTTCGGTAATTAATTTTAAGTTATGAAATTTAAATTTGTTGACTAATTATAATTGTATTTGATTGCAGCCCAAAAAAAGTGAAAATCATTTGATAGGTACTAAGGGAGACATTATGAAATTGGTGTGTCCACATTGCGAAGTGTCTTGTAAAACAGTTCGAGTAAGTCAATACTGATTATAGTTATAAATTATATTAAAATGATTTATCATTTCAAACCGAATGTTTTTTTTTTAAAGGAATATGAAATACACTTGTTGAAAATTCGTCATCGATCTTCAATGACTATATTAGCTAGAAAACGTAAACATGAGCTATTTATGTTGCGTCAAGATCAAAGAAAAGAACAGAAAGATATTGATGAAAAAGTGGTTGAAGAAGATGCAAAAGCCAATATTAATTACTGCAAATTATGTCAGTTGAACTTCAAACAGCCGAAAAGTGATCATTTCAGCAGTCTTTTACATAAAGTGAGCTAATTATTGAATTTTATTTAAACTTTTATTTATGAATACAATTTTATGGTTTTTTTTTTTTTTTTTCTAGAAAATCAAACAGCTTTTACAACCGTCGTGTAATGTTTGTCATTTAGCGTTTACAACTCCAATGCGTCATGAACATCATTTGTGTAGTACTAATCATTTAAAAGTAAAGTTATTTAATTTTGTTAAATAATAACTTAATTTGTTTTTTTATAGGGCTTTCTGCATTATGTAGTATATGATTATTATAGTATATTTGTATTCATTTCAGAAAGTAATTATCCAAGAGCGGCGAACTAAACGTATGGCAGCGCTACCAAGGACTGATGAAGCTGAAGCAGACGTAGATATGGAAAACTTCATGGTGTTGGACTCTGTTGGTTCAGTTGATGGTAAGATTATGGTTTTGAATAAAATTCAAAAAAAATTTTCTTTGTTGATAAACGTTTAATTGTGAGTATTGAATTCATGTATTAAAGATGATAGTTCAGAAGAAAATGATACTGAAAAAAAGAAAAAATCCAAATCTGATAAAGAAATTAGCTTGGGTGAGTTTTATTGTTATTTTACTTTTTAAGATGGTTATTTTTAGGACTTGAGACTTAAACTTTTTCACTCCCAAAGTTTCATTTAACTTTTATAAAAAATAAATTTTAATAAAAGTTCCACATGCTATAACATGTATCCAAATTTTCAAACTGATATGTTAAAAAACAGAATAAGAATTTACTTTTGAATGTTTGTTCAGTTCATCCTGAAAAGTTGCAAAAAACGAGATACGACCCTTTTTGTTGGGGCAATCGATATAACAAATGAGTTTATATTGGTCTTTACCTCTTGATTGTGCTGGCCTCTTCAATTATAAATTATTTTGTTGTTCAATGTTCTTTTATATTATTTTATAACATGCATTCTATTAAAAAATGTAGAACTGGTTTTTAATAGAATAAAATATTTGAATTTGATTTGAACTAACGTATTTTGTTACAGTTATGTACTTTTTTAAATAATACTTTAAAAAGAATAACCTTTTTAGATAATTTAAGTAATGATTATATTATTAATAGGTACAGTTATTAAAGATAGATATTGTTATATGTTATAACAACAAACATTTTATATTTATTATTTACTCGGAATTATAAGTTAATATGTTTTTTTACTTTATACTTTAGGAAAAGAATTTTGTAAAAAAGTTGAAGTTTATTACTGTGAACTGTGCAAGTTTAATTTGCCACCTCATGATGATATTGAACAACAGCTGAGTTTGCATTGTCGTAATCGTGTGCACCTACAACGCTATGTGCAGCATTGTGAAAAAATAAAGACACGAGAAAGAGTAACAGAGAAATCGACCAAAGAAAGTTCCCAGGATGCAAAACCTGACAACGAAGACAGTAGTGATTCCTCCAATAAAGTATAAATTCAACATTAAACTTTATCACCTCTACGATATAAATTTATCCTACTATCAGTTACAATTCCAGGGTGTTAGTATCGATGGTAAAAGTGATGTTCCAAACATAGCTGACAAATCAAATTTTATTGAACATAATGATTTTGATTGGTCTTCATTGGATAATGTTATAGAAAACGAGCCTACTAAAGAAGATACTGATAGTAAGAAATCTTTAAATAACATGGCAAAATGATGTCTTCTAATTATTTTAATTGATATTTCAATCTTTTGCTCTATATCTGAGAACTCGAGTTATGTTATAACTTATGTTTAGTTTGAAATTAAATTTAAAAGAAACAATTATTTACCTTTAACATTAATTAGAATAGTTTTTTTTAAACTTTTTTAAAGCATATTCTTGGTTAATATTATTATATGTACATATTATTATATTCCGGACATTACATGTACTAGTGACACTGTTAAGACAACAAACAATTGAATAGCTTTTTTAAAAATAAATTTAACTAGATAATATTAATTTTATTAGTGTAGGCATAGTTTAAGATGACGAAAATAATAAATGTAAAATTTGTTTGTAACTGAAAAAAAATGATTTGTTGTATTGAAAAATTTGTATTATACAGTTTTTTTTTTGTAATTATATTTTTATTTAGGTTTAATCAAAAAGTATTGAAAACTTGTATTTTTATTAATTACAAATAAAAAATTACTAAAATTACTGCGTTTTTGGTATTTCACCTTTGTAGCAAAACTGGTGTTTTTGTCCCCATTGTCCATCTTCAGAAAGTTCATTGTTGGCCGTATACTACTGAGAACTAACAAACACAATTTAAATATTATAAAATACCTAACCAGAACTATTTTATTTGTTTTTTTATTAATTTCTTACTGATGAATTGTATTACTAAATAGTTTGTAGTGATTTATAACCTATTTGCAGAAGCGTATTGTTTTCCATTTTAAAAGTGGAATGTTTAAAAATTTGCAAAGCTCATGTCATTCATATATATAATCAACTTAAAAGTTTAAACTTTTAATAACTAGTTTATAATTTTTTCGGAAAAAGGTATTGAGGATATTGGTAATTAAAATTATTTAATTAAGACGGTGTCAGCGCAGCCCATTTTAAGGAGTAAAGTATAGGACATTTTTTACAAAATCTTAATTTAAAGGCTAAACTGTGATGTGTAATTATTAGTTCAATAACTAGGACTCTATTCTGGTAGTTAATTTATTTTTCGGACTATCTCAGCATCCGCGACAGCGATCTAAAAAAAATTTTTCCATAAAAATTTAGTTTTTTAGATCCAAAAGTACAACTTGCTGAGTGATTTTAGAGCAAAATTAAAGAAAATAGCATTAATGAGGGCACCTCGAAGCTCTTTTTCTGTTTTTTCAAATAGGACATTCATTAACTTATTTTTAAAATAATACAATTTTTGTTAATTTTAAACCCTGTAACTTCTAAAAAATAATTTTTTCGAAAAAATGGCTTCGAGATGCCCTTTTAAATATTGTTTATTTTAAATAATCTAATAGGTTTTTTTGCATTAATATCAATTAAGAGCCACTAATTTTCAATTAAAGTAAAAATGTTTTAGTGCTGGTAAATCGCTGCCTTGACATCCTCTTAATGATTTTTTTCTTAAACAGTATTTTTTTTTTAAATTGTACTCTATATACTAAATTGATTATCTTATCTGTCTTCTCTAGACGCTTGGATACTAAATAAAATAATTAGTTTGAAACCTTTCATCTAGCAAGTCTTGTATTGGAAATCTGTAAAATTATAATTAATTAAAAATTCAAATATCGGTACCACCACGGTTATCATTAATTTGGTGGTTACTCTGGTTTGTTTACTATTGATAGTGATACGAGATAACGTTATCCGGCTAGTCTGTTGTTTTACCAATTGCTATTCTGAAATCTGATTGTTGGTACTTGGTGGACCGTTTTGACGTTCTATTGCCTCTCAACTGAGTTATAATATGTACCGTTTTTTATGCCGTTTCGTTTAAAATAATTTATATATTATTTATCTTTTAACATAAGTATCGCGTTTACCGTCAGAATGTCGGGTTATGATGCGCGTAGCGATGGACCCAGTTTTGTTGGGATTCGTTTCTGTCAAGAATGGTATTAAAATCATTATTGTACAACTTGAATTTAAAATATAGTTATAGATTTGACGTCAATTCAAATTTGTCATGTCATTAATATTTCTAAAAATTAAAACATTTTTCGAAAAGTAACAACATTGGTGTATTGTTTAATATGTTGAAAGATATTTTAATTATTTTGCAATAAGACATTTTAAGTGTTTAACTAGCTATTTTCGTCGTAGATAATGTACAAATTAATTTTAGTCTTAAATTATTAGATAACAGTTATTTGGGAGTTAAATTATTATATTAACTAACTAACAGGTCTTATAGATTCCTCGTTTTAAATGGCGATGGTCTAATATCATCGGCACCATGCCAAAATTTATATGTGTTAAAAATGACCAAGTGCAAAAAAATGTTTAAATAATTTATTTTATTAAAATTGATCATTTATACAAGTTTTTGTACATAATCACTTTTGGCATGATGGCGACGATATAAAGGTTAAATTATTTTTTATTTTTAATAATAATTATAAATATATGTTATGTTGTTAATGAAGATGGTAATTTAATTTTAAATAAAAATTATTCTTTTTTAGTAATAATATGCTTTATCCAAAAGAAGACAAGGAACACAAAGTCTTATTGTACGCTGTAAGTAGTAAAATATATAAATTAAATATTTATTCCATAAATGTTACCTTATTAAATATTATTTATATTGTTTAATTCAATTTGTCTTAGAATCATAATTTGTTTCTTTTACAGTGTCGTAATTGTGATCATAGACAAATGGCCGATAGCAATTGTATCTATGTTAATAAAATTATGCACGAAATTAAGTAAGCCTTCAGATAAATATTTTTTATATTTTATAACTATAAGATAATTTTATGTAAACAACAATTTGTTATAGTGAACTAACTCATATTGTATCAGATGTTACATCTGATCCAACGCTGCCTAGGTCAGAAGATCATCCTTGTCCAAAATGTAAACATCGAGAATCTGTCTTTTTCCAAGCTCAAACTAGACGGGCTGAGGTAAATATCTATAATTCATTTTTAATATAAACCATAAGTAAACTAAATATATATTGAACATTTATAGGAGGAAATGAGGTTGTATTATGTCTGCACTAATCCGCATTGCATTCATCGTTGGACAGAGTCGTCAATATAATATGTTTTTAAAGTAATTAAAATGTATCCTAAAATTATAAACATTAATGTCATTCTAAAATTGTAGTAAAAGAACATTTTCAACATCCTTTTTATATTTCTTTATATGTTTTTATAGAACAGGAAATAAATATATATATATTACATTACATTTACTTTCATTGAAGTATTTATTTAATTTCAACCATTTGTCTTCTTGAATGAAATAGATGCTCTGAAAAAGAAACTAATTTATATAATGAATAGAATATAATTCAACTTTTCTGCTTTGTAAGGCATTTTTGGGCAGCAGTATGAATTTTTTCATCTAATTTGTCTGAAAAAAGTTAATACATAAGTGAATTAGGTGTAGTTTAAACTTAAATAGCAGTTTTAATTTTTACATAATATGTTAAATATAATTTTTTTCTTTTGTATAAACACCCAAGAAGAAGGTTATCGTGTTAATGTAACATTTAGTTACAACCACTCACATATTTTATGTTGTCCTTTGATTGGAAATTGATTAGCCATCATGACTGGATCTTTACATATAAACACAAAAGGACTTTCACATTCCCCTTGTGGGTATTGTTCCATATATTCTTCTTGTGATAAGCAATCCACGACATTAACGCAACCCATTAAACAACTGGTTGGATATCGTTTTGGGAATTCCATGTCTGAAAAAATAAGTAAAAAGAATTATTACACTTGAATCATTAAAAAGAAAACCATTGTTTCGTTTACCTCCTTTTAAATATTTATAAAATGATTCTAGCCGTTCAACTTCCTCAGGAGTTGGCTTTTTGGAAGTCGAGGCAATCCATAATCTTCCTCGGTGAGAAGTATACCAAGACCGACCTTCATGACTAAAAAATTTAGACTGTGTATTGTTAAGAAGTATTTAATATTTAAAAATCTATAGTAAAGAAATATTTGATTACCATTTGATATTGAGTAGTAGAAGTGAAGCATATGGCTGATGCATACTCATACACATACCAGAATCTGTCATTAACATTAATTCAGCGTCTTGAACTCTTTTTATTCCTTGGGTTTCTTGCATGGATAATTGTTTTGGATTAGAATTTTTTTTTTTGATAGTTTTTATACAATTATTATTAAACTAAAGTGAGATAAAAGTGAACAATATAAGTATACATTTTTTTTTTTTTAATTAACTCATAAATACCTTTAAATCTATTTTTATTAATGGATTACTTATTTGTTCATTAATTTCAACAAACTGCGATTCTTCACAATCATTCATAGAATCTTCATTTTCTTCATCATCTAATTCCTCGTCTTCATACACTTGTCTTCCTAAATTACCACAAAATCAAAACAAATTAAAAGTAACACTAAAACCATACATATAATTATCAGGTAATTATTTTTTTAACACCCTACAATTTCGATACACTTTCTTAGTAAAGTGTAGTTGTTTAAAAAAAAAAAAAATTATCCTATATATTCATATAAAAAGGTACCAGCAAAATCTATAGTGAATTTTTTAGCTCTTCGCGAGCCATGTAGCTTTTCTTGTCGTTCATCACTTTTTTTTTTCATTTGGTCCTTTTGCTTGGCAGACAGCCATCCACTGTTAACTGAATAGTAATCCATTTGATCATCTATGACGTTGGTACGTTTAGCACTGCAAAGATATTTATTTGTTAAAAATTAAAATAATAAAGACTGAATGATTCGAAGAACTAAATTATTTTATTTGATACCTGGTACGATCATATTCCAAAAGTTTATTGCGATGTTCAAGGGCTTTTATATCACTTTTTGCCTGAACTGTTAGCTCGATTAATTGATTGTAAAGTTCTTTTGATTTATTATTATTACAGTTAAGCAAAAGTTTTTCATCATTTGAACATACCTAAAAATTAAATATACAGTATTATAGTATATTCACAAATACCATTGATCAAAGATTGATTTGATGATCCATGTTTTGGATTTTATAAATCCAAAAATCCAGGAATGTGGGTATACTAGATTTGCCCATGCCCCATTGTGTTACATTAAATTTGTTTATCTATATCATATATTTAATAATTTTTATACTTGCCAATTCCCCACAAACAACACAGGGTCCAGAACCTTCTTGCTTACATACTATTCTGCCACAACTTAAACAGTTATTGATCAAACCGTGTTTCGATGCTTGGCAGTCACACTTATGACGCCCTAATTATAAAAAAAAAATGAATATTTAAACCATTTTAAACAATTGCCAAACAAAAAACAAATAGTATGAAATATGAAAACATATTATGTACCTTTTAAAAATATTTCTTGTTGATTGATTCCTTCGTCTGAAAATATGTTTACGTATTTTTTGTTCTTAGATTTTGGTTCGGATTTCTACAAAGAAATGCATAAATTATATGAATAACTTCATTATTTAAAATTAATCTATTACAGTAAATATTTTTACTTGTGGGTTTTTTTCAGCATCTTTTGTTTGGTCTTGGTTTTTATTATTTTTAGGTTGATTTAGTTTGATATGTGGCCCTTGAATACCGGTTGCAGGTTTTTGGTTCACTAAATAGTTATATTTAAGATATGAATGTGAGGTATACATAGTTGATATAAAAGCTTGTTTTAGATCATCCGTTAATTAATAGTAATCATAACTAAGAAATCTTACATAGACGAAATCTCTTTTTTAAATCGCTCAGAAATTGTTTGTGTATCGACGACTTGAGATCTAATAAAGAATTGCAGTATTCTTCTAAATCTTTTTCTGACTGCATTGACAGTATATATCTGTGTTTCAAAATAGTATTATTGTATTTTGATACACTGTGTATCGTTTTGTAACATTCTTACTTACTCAGCCATCTCATTTTGAACTTCAAACTGCAATAATGCAGATAATCTATCACATATCCATTGAATAAACTCTTGTTTAGACATATCTTTTAATTAACGGTTAATTACTACTAATTAAAAAATTTAATTGCAACTTAAAATTATTGTCGAAAATCTCGTCGCCTTCGTATTTTGTATATTCGGCAAAAGATAACGGTGTTGTACTTTTTTTATTTAATAAATTGATAAAAGAATTAGTGTGATACCACAGAATAGACTAAATGTAATTTATTCTGTGGTGATACTATACAATTATCATGGTTCTTATTGATGAATGGCGCCGTTGACCCTATTCAATGAACCGAATTCAAAATAGGTAACTGTTCTGACTTCCGAGTATAATATTATAATACTTATTTCCGAAATTAGCGTCTATGTTATAGAACCGAAATATTCCGAGTATTTATAATAAGTATTATCAGAATAAACTTGTTATCAACTGTTGCTTGACAATTTTTTTTTTTGTAAGGAAATTGTTTAAAATTCCTTCTCTTGTTACTCATTAGAGATATCAGCACACTTTATTTTTTGAATTACATATTTTTTTCTCGAACCATTAAAACTAGGTACTTATTGCACAAATTAATAATAACAGCTGTAGTATTTTGTTAACAAAAAAAATGTTTTATTTATTTAAAATTGTTTACTATTTAAAGCTAATCACTGTTGCATTATAATTTTAGCCTAGGTAATGTGTACGTGACCTCTTTAGTTACTCCATTGATTTATGTAAGAATAAGTGGCCTGTGATCCCGCACTTTGCGCCGACGATCCGTGGTAATTGTATACGACTTGTGGACCATAGTAACTCTGGGCGGGCTGCTGTGGGACGTAAGAGGCAAATCCGTTGTAGTATGGAGCGCTTGCCGGTGGTGCGTTCGGAGCGGACACCGCGGCCGCTGACTTGGCGACGAAAGGTATGGCCGAATGTAAATTTGGCACAGCCTGGATGCTGTATGGAGAGGACGCCACTCTCGGGATGACCGGTGCAACGTCGTTGAGTCTGGGAACAGCCTGGACGCTGTGAGGTATTGCCTCGGCTTTGGCGGCCGGTTCGCGTTTCACTTCGGCGACAAACCCATTAGCCTCGTCCGCCTTATAGTTGACTATCCTCACAAAACCATCAGCATCAAGTGTACGGTAATAACCGGTGACCGAGTTACCTGATCTGGTTTCCTCTTGGTCCTTCTGGTCTCCGGTTTTCGAGTCGCTTACCGAATAGGCGAACTTCGAGTTGGATAAGTCATCGGCTACGACGATGCCAACGCTCGCCGTCATAAACAAAAATGCCTAAAAAAAAAAAAATCCACCATTCATAATTGACAAAATACACTAAGTGTATTTTGGCACTTGCTTAAAATAAATTTTTTTTATTGATGATAATTTATTTATTTTTATTTTAAACGGCGATTTACATCTGCATAGTATAATAGTTCAATATAATAATATCTAATCGATTACCAATCACCATTATAAAGTGTATGATATACATAAAATAAAATAGGGAATTTAATGTTTGAAAAATATTTGTACTTACTTTAATAAACCGCATGACTGTTTAAGTATAAACTGCGCTTTTGCCTTTTGGAATAACTTGTGATTTTATTAAAAAAAAAAAAAAATACAGAATGATGTTTAATAATTAATATATGTATAATAAACACTCCGTAAAGCGTTTATAGCTTATATACTTATTGTAAAAAACAAATGTAGACTATTCAAAACTAATTAAAATCCAGTCGACCTTCCAATTCTATTGTTTATAATAACAGGTATTTTTCAAAACTGGGAGCAAAACTATATTTAATAGTATCACTAAAGGCACACTTTTTAAATTATGATATAATAGAAATGGACATTGGGCAATATCGTAGAACATGTTTTACAATATTTTATGCCGTAGCATAAAACACAACTTACTTTTTAACACGGCCTTATTTCGATTAAATAGTTAAATTAGATTGACGATTGTCGATATCATGTAAATATATTAGAATTGTTTATCAACTGGCAACGAATAGCAGAAATTAAACCCATTAATTCAGTACTTTACGAGTGCTCTTTCAATGAAATTATATTTGTTTGATTTTTTCACGTGTACTTCGAAACACTATTGTTTTGACAAGAATGTCAAAAAGAAGTCTGATGGCAAAACACGACCATTACAACCGATAATCCACTCTTGAGGTCATTAAGAAAAAATGTCAGAGCTAATGATGTTGCTGTGGTGCAAAATATGACAGCCATAACTGTCCTATTAATTTTATGCTAATTTGTGTACAAACATTTTCAATTTAATAGATCATAAACGATATCCTTATCTGAATTCTGGTGAGTATTGAGATGTATTGGCTCAAATCAATTTCAGGGCTTCCTCGCCATTTTTTTTTGTTCTCGTGGCTTTATTTATTGCATATTTTTATCGTTTAAATCTAGTCGAGAACTGAAACCTTAATGGTGTTTTCGGTTCCGGTCCGGTTGAATTTTTCAATTATTTTTTTAGTTTTTTAAATAGGAAAAACAGAATTGTAACATAAAAGATTAAATATACCAGAAGCAAACAAAGTGCTGAAAACTAAATATAGATCTAAAAACGGTTAGAGTGAAATTATTCAGTAAACTGATTGTGAGTCCTGTTTTATTGCTCTGGTTTTATGGACTTATGCACAATCTACAGATACACTTAAAATTGCATGGACGCCATTGTGGTTGCCGAATCTTGACGCCTGTTTTAATATAGTCGTATTTTACCCTCGAGGGAGAATGTTGTTGCATGTGTATATAGTCCCTAGTGAAAGCAATAACGGTCATATTCCATAAGTTGTTTGTTTAAATACTCTAATATTAATCGATATTAACCAACCTTCGGTAGCTCAGTTGGTAGAGCGGTGGACTGTAGTGTTTAATGCATAGATATCCATAGGTCGCTGGTTCAAATCCGGCCCGAAGGAAGTATTTTTTTAGACAGACCTGCTACTTAAAAATATTTTTATTTATGTAAAACACAGAGAACTGAACACTATGAATTATATGCACGTGGAATTCTATTACAATTATTCGTTAAATAGCACATCTTTCAGTTTTAATATAATGAATTTCGAATTTCAGATGTTTTAAAAGAAAACTGTTTTTATTAGTATATTATACACATGCACTAATACATATAACAGTAATAATAAGAACTACGTAAGCCATTAGTATTATTATTATTATGTATTACAATGTATTATGCCTAATATAATTAAATACATTTTTTATATATTAGTTTAAATATTATATACAATTTATACATTTGGTGAAAGTTATTAAAAAGTGGCATAATAATAATTAGTATAAGTACTTAATTTTATCCGTTAAGAGTAAAAATATATGATTCATTTGTATAGTATTATAAAATCCATCTGGGATAATCTCGAATAGAAAATAGTAAGTATTATGTTTTTTTTTTACTCATAAAATTTAGTTTTGATGATTTGGAAACAAAATATCCTTTCTATTTTTTATTCCATAGATGAAACAATGATAAGGAACACAATTTGACATCATCCATTAATTATACCCTTCTGGTTTATAGCGCTTAAATATGTCATTAACGCTAGTAGCCTTGAACTGATGGTGAATTTAATTGGACAGATATTATCTCATGTATTTCGTCGCGACATTAAACCTATATTTTAGTCCCTACACACGCTTAAATTATTTAAAACAAATATAGTTTTACATAAAAATTATAATGGTTTTACTATACAACAATACACTTTTATACATGCCAACAGCAAACTTCATGTCTTGTCCGTACTTGCTGCAAATTATCTGTTTACGTCTCTATCGTATTTTCTATGACTTACGTTGTTTTAAATATTAAAACAATCATATAGTTATTTTATCATAAATAATAGAGTTTTTAGCAATTACGCATACTATGCAGAAGCGTGATATTTATGATGACGCCAGGCCGTCGCTAATTTCATACAAAATATTTGGTTTTACTAGTATGAAAAACGTTTTTTCAGGCCAGCCGACATTTCAATGGGGATGGCACGCACTTCTTCCGATTGTATGTATATTATATATTTTATAATATTAAATATTTGTGTGATTGATTTTTCATTAACACTCATTTTGCAAGTAACGAATGCATGTATAACTAAGACAAATCGAATAACGTTTTAATTGAAACAATAACAAAATGTTGTATTCGAAAATTTTCAAATAATATTGTTCGAAAAAGCGTGTACTTATTTGACAAACTAAACTATTTTTTTGTTACGATTCGACAAAAGACAAGACAATAGTTGACGGTAATATTGTCAATTTTAGTATGTTTTCTTAATTCTTTTCTTATTAGCCTTTAAAAAAATTGTTTTATTCCATGTTTTATACAATTATGAGTTTTTATTTTATTTTTGTGTTTGGATCCCAGATATGTCCTAAATCGCAGGAACAATTTCTTCATTTAGATTAGGAATCGTGTCTGAAATGTAAAATTAAAGCCAAAAATTACAAAATATCACTCTTTTCCGTTTAAAGTTGAAAAAAAAACTACAAATTTGCATATTTTTTATTTTATAATTACGGCACGCTATAACTTTTTTTTTAAAAATAGCCCAAACTTGTTGTATGGGATATTGTTTAGTTCTAGTACTACTGATATACATTGGAAAAACCCTAGAGAATATTATTCTTAATTCTTTCCTAGAGACTTTTCAGTTATTTCGTTTTATTAGGTGTAGTTTTACGACTCAAGGTCTGAAAATTTGTCTATATCACAAGTAATAACATTATAAGTATATGAATTGTAATTTTTAAAATACAATTTAATATTGATACATTGTTATGCGTGATGAGCAGATAGGATTCACGATATTCATGAGCATTTGTCTTGCGAACGCTGTAAGTTATCGATCGCGTACAATATGGTTTTGGACGTTCGTCACTTGTTTTCGGGAAGTCGGCCGGTTGTCCTCGTCGATACATGCCGACAAACGTACGCCGGACATCGTGAACAAAATACACAGGTACGACGAGCAGCATAAATACCCGAAACAAAGCAATCGCACGGCCGGACAGCGGTACTTGCTGTTGGTTTATTGGCTTTTCGTGATCAGCGTGATAGCCTGCAGCGTTGCGGACATCGCTTACAACGGATTTTCCTTGACGAATCTCTACTACGTGTTTTTCCGGTAAAACAAAAACAAATTTCACTTTGTTGTAATCATATGTCGTTGTACATACTGACACGTTGACGCATGCCGTCTGTATTGCAGATACTGGAGTTCGCTGTTCCCGCTTATATACCTGTTCCTCTGCTATCATGTTTATTGTCGATTTCGAACGTTGGGCGAGCGATGGCACACTGACGTGATGCAATCACTGGCCGACGGTTCGCCGGTCTCGCATCAGACGTTGGAGTCCGAGAGACTGGCGCACTCTCAGCTTTGCGACATCGTCAAGGACTTGAGCTTGGCGTTCGGACCCCAACTGGTCAGTTACTTGTTTTGCGTGTTCCTCGAGCATTTAGCTCGGTTCTATTTCATGACGTATCACCCGGAATCCATGTCCAGTAACTTGGACACGGCCAATAACGTTAAAGCACTGCAACCACTGATGTTCATAGTCCACAGTTGGATCGGCGTGTATCTGATAGCTTATCTGTCCGACAAAGTCACCGAATCCGTAAATGCAGTATTGAAGTATTGTTTTTATAGTATTATTATTTGTTACATTAAGGTAAAATTTCATAGCAAGCTTTTTAACGTCTACTCATTAAAATATGATTACACGTTACAAACCAATAAAATATTAGTAGGCACACAAGTAAAAATGATAATTTAATCATTATTAGGGGTTTTGCCACTCAACCTTATCTAATTTTAATCTATTCTAATACCAGTTACCAGTTGGCAGTTAATATTGTTGTGTTATTAATACGTCTTCTTGTCTTTAGAGCAAAGATATTATAACAAGCTTAAGAAGTATACCTATATGGAAACTACCAAGATGTCACTCTACTCAGGTATATAATTTCCCGAGTATAAACTCATAAATTAAGGGGAACGGAAAGCGTCCACTTTTATACAAATTACAAATAAACACAAAGTCACTTTGTTTTTTTTTTGTTAAAAGGCCGGTTTTTTTCGAAAATTTTTTTTAAGCGTTTACCTACATCTTCATAATTTTTCTAACATATCTAACTAATTTTCTAATGGCCTTTTAGCCCCATGGTTAAAATAATAAGCTTAACAAAAAAATAAAATGAAATCCGTCCATAGATACGATATTTTATTTTTTATAGTTAATCATAATCATTATTCAGATTACAAATATGTTACCATTTTTTTAACCCCTTCACAACAATTCGAAAACGATTCGAATAAAAATGTATTGAACGTTATTCATTTTCACTCAATGTATATATATATTTTTTAAATGTTTATAAAAAACACAGTGAAACTGTTTATTTTTTAAATAATCTACAATATCTTTTGTATTTTAACGGAAATAGTAAATACTTCCAATACAACTCAAAGAACTTTTCGGGTTTTGACAATTTTAATATTATTATATGTTTTGCGATTAGATAATGCTGTTCATGACTCAAGTGCAATGTTCCAATACAGAAGTCACGGCATGTGGACTTTTTAAAGTGAACAAAACTATTTTATCCTCCGTAAGAATAGACTTTTATTTAAACAATTGAAATTTTTATGTTTTTATATTTTACATTGCGTACAACACTTTATTGAAATTAATAGAACATTTCGTAATTTGTGTACGCCTTTTACCATTTGCTAAATTGTATGTACCCAAACTGTATCGTTATAACTCATATAACTTATAATAATATGTTATAATACATTTACATTAAGCCATACTGTTAGACGTTCCTTGATATATTATACTGTATTTAATATTTATTTATTTCAGATCACAATGTCTTTGGCCACTTACATTATTGTAGTAATACAATTGTCACCGAACATCAAACAAATATTTATAAATTAAAATTATCTGTACGGTCACTACATTTAAGTTAATTATGCGGCCACGGGCCAAGTGTATTGACTTCACATTGATGCAAAAATTATAATCGCGTTAAAAAACATTTCAACACAGTATAATAGGCCATCCAAACCATCAAATTTGGTTTGATTTACTATAATATTTGGCACAGTAATATAAAAATAAGAGGTTTTCATGGATCACCAGGCATTTCGTCTACCACTTCGTTCATCTTGGCAAACAATATTTATAATAATAAATAATAATATGTAGATGTATATGATGTTTTGTCAGTTGTCTGCATAGAAACTGTGATCATAAATAATGTATAATATTATTAAATATATTTATACAGTTATAGCTACGAAACATTTTTTTTTAATAACGACTTTGTGACTAATAGTTTTTAGTGATTTCGACAGATATTTGTTATTACTTGTTTACAATATTATTTATATATCACACAGCACACTTGGTATTGTATTTACAGAAACTATAAAAAAAAAACTAAAAATAGATATTATTTAAGTTGTATTCAAACAATAAATTACAACACATTTGTATTTTTCTCCCATAAGCGATAGAAATTGTCTTTTTTACATTTTGTTAAGATGATATATTATACAAATTATAAGAAGTTAATAAGAATAACTCACAAACACTCGTGACTTTTTTTTGTATCCATAATTTGATTTACTTTGACTGTCTGTAAATCTATATTTAAATTATCTATTTATATATATCGTTTTTACATCACTCTACACATCTATCTCAATATTCTCGTTATCTACAATTTTAAGAATCACTTCCATTCGCAATCTATTTCTGACATCGGTAAAGTTTTACGCAATTTAAAAAAAAAAACTAACTACTTAGATTTAAAAAAAAGGGTTATATTATATTGATTACAATTGAAAAAAAAATGCATTGTAAATATAAATTAATATATTTTCATAATTTTTTCAGTGCAACGTCTTACAATGAAGAACCACACGACTTTATGTATACTCCAACTGATAATTTCATCTGTCTTTCTCGTAAAAATAAGTTTTGGAGGAGTAACTCAAGGTAAATATCTACGGTCGTTGTCGCGAAAAAAACCACCCATGTGCCAGTTTTATGATTTTGAGGTTTTGGTATCCCTGGATACAGACAAAAATAAGCTATCATATAACGTACTATCTCCATTGTAGAATAAATGGAAAATACAAAATAAAACTTATGTATTACCAGCTATAAATCGTTTTATACGTTTTAGTGTCTCCTGAACAATTAGTCTAACACATTAGACTTTTTCGCGGCAACGACGATATATTTAAAAAATATAATACTCTAAAATTATTTTTAAAAAAATATTCAGACGGGAATTCAAATATTGTTAAGTTTCCTAAAAATTAAATTATTTCATAATGTTAAGGTATTTTTTTTCAAACGTTTGTTTTATTAAAGTTTGATATTTACTAATAAGTTTATTGTACATAACCAAGTTAAATATTTACTTTAACATCATCAAATACCCTCAATTATTTTAGAGATTATGAAATTATTTCTTTGTTTCAGCTTGCTTAGACGAAATTATTAAAGCAAGTAAGTTGTGCGTTACTATTGTTATTAATGTCAGTGTCTTAGTTGAGGGGGGGACAGGGTGGTGTTATATTCTCAATGTCAATACATCCACCAATTAAACAAATTGTTGAGTACAGCCCCATGTTAAGGAGAGTTTCTGTACCTAATGTTACGATCAGTAAGAAGAAATAAAATAAAATATATTTACCATCGTACATACTTAACAGTTAACACTTATATAGATAACATATTTTATAATTTATAGGTTTAAATAACTAATTGAACGGCTTGTTTCAGATATCATGCTTAAAGCTTTAACAGTAACGAAGAGTAAATAAAATATATTTTATCTTATTTTTTAATCACCTTAACTAATATTAACCATATTTAAAACATAATTGAAATTTATAGCCGATACAAATTGGAACGGAAAACTCAAGGAACACGAGTTAAGACGATATGGTTTGTTATTAGTTTTTTATTCGACAAGTAAACTTGTTATAGATTTGAGATTTGACGACTAGTCATAATTGCATAGCATATTACTTCTGTTTTAGACTTCGATTTCAAAAATCTTATACCAAAAGAAGGTAAACTATAATTTATCCACACGTTGATGATAATAATAAATAATAGTTTAATAACATAATGCTGTAAAAAATTATATTTTTTAATATTTGTCTCAATATTAGTACAATGATTGTAATATTTCTACATGGGAACTATAATATTTAAAACAGATTTTCTTATTACCATACACGAAATAATATTTTTGAACAAGACATTTTTTGACAAATTTAAACAACACCAACACAGTTGTACCTTTTTTTGTATAGTCCAATTGCCATTATACATTATTTTTAAAATGCCTTACTTTTATAGACAAAATTGAGGAGATTACTAATCGTTTGGTTAAAGATTGTCAGGGAAAAAGTGGTTTGTATATAATTATTCTAAGTTTAAATGCATATCTCCAATCGAAAAAAAGTTATGTCCTAAACCTTATAGTTGTTAATTTTTTTTTTTGTTATAAATAGAGTCAACACCTTTTTTTTATATCTTAGTATGGCTCAATACAATATTATAATAATACCTCTGGGCTCTGCCGAAATAACGTTATTTTTATATCGGAAATCCTAGATTAATATAATAATTCGTATCTTCTATGTTATTAATTAATATAGCTTATCGGTTATTTTTAATAATACTATACATATATTTTCGCAGGAATATTTGCTAGGACTCTTATCCCAACTGGTAATATGATTATTTTTTTAAAAATATTTAATAACATTCTTACATGTATATTTTCTTAGATGCATTAATACTGATATAGTCTGTACTCATATAGTCTGGCTGCACATCCTAATATTATGTATACAATTTGGTTTAACAGACCTTTTTCATAATATATTGAAAATGGAAATAGTAGAATAATATGTCAGATACAAATCGTTTATTTCAGAAAATGAACCCGCATTGGATAGATTAAACAGAGAATCGAAAATTCAAAAAGTTGCGGGTACTAATATATTTATAAGTATCTTTTATATATTTCTCATACCCCATCAAATATGATTAATATACAATTATTGTAATTTTATTTTCAGGTTTCAACAATAACCTATTTAAAAGACGTAATGTTTGTTTGTTTATTTAGTATTTTAACATTATAATTTATTTTTTTGACATAATAAAAGCGAATAATGATCGAAATAATTCCACAAGCTAATTTTATTTTTAGTCGATACAGATATACGGAATTTGAATATGAAGGATCGTAGAAAACTATACTCCGAGGAAATTAATAATAGTACGTGCTTTAATTAAGGCTTGATGTTTACTAAAAACAATGTTTCTATTCCAAATAATTAAATAGTCGAATATGCTATCTGTAAAACATCCAATATATACATTTTTTTCTTCAAATTTCGTTTTATTTTTAATTTAATTTAATTAATTGAGTTATTAAATTAACGCAAGAGTAAGAGCAATAATGTACAATTTCACACAGTATCTTATAATAATTATAATTTATAAATAATATAATATATATATATATATATATATATATATATAATATACATACACATTGTTAAAAAATTACAGAAAAAAAAAGGCAAAGGCCGGCAGGTAAATATAATCAAACTATGCAATGTTTTCTTTAAAATTAAACTAACTTTTTCGATTATAATAATATGTTCTTATGAAGATAAAATCGAGTACGATAGTGCCGTGGCAGAACGCAAAGAAGTATTATATGATTACATAAATAAAGAAATGGGAAATAGAAGTAAACTTTAAAATTTAATTTAATGTTTTTTTATATTTTGTTTAATTATTGTGTTTACCTAAAACCAGTAACTGATAATAACTACTACTGACTACATAGTTACAACGAGAAATACAAATTAAACATAGTTTAAATAACTGTATAGTATTTTGATTATTTTACAGTTTTTTAATATATAATTAATATTACAACACGTAAATAACCTAATAAATGAACTAACCAGTAACGGGTTTTTAAACAATAGCTTTTTTTGACAAAAAATTTGTTAATTATAGAAAATATACAAATGTGTAAACCGGATTCAACGAAATGCATATTGCTGGGTTTACGAAAAACTTTAGACGCACTACCAGATTGGTTCAATTATACAGCTAAATGTGATGGGGACATTTGTCGGATTAGTATGAAACAACATTGTGAGAAGACAATCACGATTTCTTCTGACTACATCGATGAAAATAATAGTGATGGCGAATATGAGCCAATCGAATTGACTACAGGTGATTTTGAAAATTCAGAGTCTAGCATTTAAATAGAAAGTTTAAAACGGCAATAGCTATTTGCACAAGCTGCCTTTTTTCCCCTATACCGCTCATAAACCTTTTCATGAGTAAAAATGTAATTGAGTCGTTATTAAATGAACGAATAAATAACGGACACTCATATACATAACGGAGTCGTGTTCGTAAATTTAATTTGTTATTGAAAAAATAGCTGACAATAGTGGGGAACCATTTTTCCTAATGGTGCATTTTTATGTGGTAAAATTTTATTTACAGTTTTTCAAATAACTTCCCAAATAATTGGTGGAGCTTTTCTAGAAAAATATACATTTGAAAGCCTAGAATGTAGTTAGTGCAAATTAATAATATCCATTTATTTTCTATTAGTTTGAAAGAGGTATATAAAATGTATGTCATAATAAACGTATTTATAATACGGTTTCACGTTCGCCAAAACCTACTTTAAAGCTATAATTGTTAATGCTTTTTTATATTACTTAATGTAAACGCACACAAAAAAAAATATATGTATATATATGAGTTAAAATCAAGGGGGTAAATATTAATGATTTAGGTGTGTTGTACTTCAAATATTTGTATTTTATTTAATTATGTAGTACATTAACACTATAATGTCAGATTTTAAAGTACTTATAAATTGTTTTAGGCGAGGCCAGCACATCAGAGATAACAGAAGGTAATTATGTAATACAATGGATACATTACAGATGATTTGTCTGAATTAATCACATTTTTGCACCCCTTTTGTATATATATACAAGATATAAGATATTTTTAGATGGTAATAATGTTTTAATAAATGTCTCATGTTGTGTTTCAGGTACGGAAGAGTAGGATATTTGTTTCTTGCATTGTAACACTAAAAGTTTATTTAATTTAAATATTTTATGTAAATCAAGAATTTATGTTTTAACATTTAACATGTTTAAATAATAATAAGAATTAAATAGTTAAGATCATTTTTAGCTTCGATGCAGAGCAGCAAAGGGGTTGTTTTTTTTTATAATATTAAAATAAAGCTGCATTATGAAAGATTGTTTGTTCTTCGTCAGTACTTATTAAGTATTAAAAAATTATAGTAGATAGCATTACCCATAATTGTTTTACTAAATATTAGCAATACAAATTGTAAATATTATTAAGGCTGCTTAATGACAGTGTACTACTTATCTTATGTTATAAAAAAATATTGAACCCGAGTTTTAATTTTATATTTACTTACTAGGCATAAGAATACATTTCAAAATTTTACAAGAAACTCCGCTAGAAGAAATAAAGGGTCAAAACTCAAAGATATTTGTTTACGGCCCTAAATAACTGGGATTCAATACTGTAGCCCGATAATTGGTTATATTTGACCACTGCTGGCTGCTTTTATTAAGTTGTGCTACAGCAACTTCATCAAATGTGCAACATTTAATAATGCTTTAGTATTTGTTTGAAGTAGATATGTTTTAGGTGATTTCAGAATAAAAACCACTATGCTATAAAGGGAAAACCAATTTTATCTTCCATAACATAGAACTAGCTGTAAAAAAGGATTTAGATGGCCGACCCTTTTTGTATGGTTTAGAAGGATATTAAAAAAAAAATTTTTTTTTTAAATAATGTATATTTTAAGTTAAAAATAAAAAAACCAATAAAAATTTGTCTTTCCATTAAAGCCAGCCATAACTTTAATCAAGATACTCATTAGCAGTATTACTATATACAAGTAGCAGTATTATTAGCGTGTCCACGTGTTGTCAATTCTAGATTTTAGCAATCCATTTAAATTGTGTTTTTCAGCAAACATATTAAATTCATTACAAATAATAAACATTCAATATACATCACCCAAAAAAATATTATTATGATAAACATGAAAATGTATTATATAATTTCCTAAGTTATTGTTGAATGTTGATCACATAGGGCATTGTTTTCCGGCTCTTATCAGAGATTTCCGCCGCAAACGTAGAAGCAGTGGCGTAATCCGTACCTTTGGAAAGCACTCGTCCCTTCGATATGTACTGCCATTTAAGTTGTACGAAATTACTAGCTGACGTTTTCATCTCTTGCCTGTAATACGAATACACGGCCAATAACTCCAAAGTTATAATCGATGTTTGCAAAATGGAACCCTAAAAAAAATGTAATGTCAAAATTATTTTTGTTTTACGTAGAATTTATCAAAAGTAAGTATTTTCAACATGCCTTCCAACTCAGTTTACCAGTTAAAAAAAAAAAATGAAATTTCAAATAATTTTAACTAATTGTTATATTTGATCGAATAACAATTTATTCTATTAGTTGTTAAAAAAATATTCGAGTAAAATATTATTTTTTTCATGTCAATCAAATCGTTATTCGATTTTTTTTAGTTATAATAATTTTTAATTTGATTAAATTTTCCGCAACTTACTATTGGTACTTCTGTTATCCAACTGTCGGCCCTCAAAACATTGTCTGTGAATATTACTAGCATAAATGTCGCGTTTGCTCCATAAACCATCAGCCAAGCATAAATTTTGTGCGGGGCATGCTTTAAAAAAATACGTCAGAAAAATAAATGTTAAACCTACATTGAGTGATTTTATATTCACCGCGAATGTCGATTTTTTCAAGTCGACGTTCACGACTAACTCCAAGAATATCCAACCTATTAAGACTAAGAATGCATAGTCCGTAAATATATCTGTAAGACAAAAGCAGATATTATTGTCAGTTATGAATTATGATATATTATTTTGAGATAGAACATTCTCCTAGGCCTTGACGCGTCACTCGTCAGAATTGTTAAATATCTATAGTTAAGTCCATATTTACAGAGAGATGCGCCTTTGCGTCTATGGTTCGAGGATAATACTATTTAGTATTGTTATGAAGTAGGTAAATTAACACAAAAGAGGTAAGAATGGGGGAAAATAACAAAATAATGAAGAGTTTAAGTTTAGCGTTAAGAAGGTTTTGGAAAAGAAAGTGCAGTATTCTTAGAATAGTGAACATTAGTACTTCAGATCAATCACATAAGACAAAAAAAAGTTTATTGTTTTAAATATTGGTCAATTTTAACAATTCAAAAGAAGTTCTACTTAAACAAAAAGTACTAAAATGTACTCAAAATTTGAAATACGTACGTTTAATAGGTTTTGGGGGAAAATAAGTATATTGACTTTTATTAATTACGTAGTTGTGAGACGGTTTTGGACAAAACTGATAACACACAATGTATAAAAAATGTTTGAACGTAAGGTAACGTTCTTAATACACACCACTCATTATCGGTGCATCGTATTCGTTATCCTCAACTAACGGTTGCATATCATGAAAATTACTTGAATTCGCCCAAATGTCAGATTTTTCAGTCGAGGTTTCTACGGGGTCGTTGTCAATCGTCTCTGTGTCATTATAAAAAGTTTCAAAATCTCTATTATTGTAAGATGTAATGATGATAATGTATTGGAAGGAACGGTAGATAATTGAATATGCGTTCCATATCTAAAAACAAACAATATTTTGTCTACAAAATTATTTATATAACGTTTTAAAACCGTTTCCTCAAAATGTCATAATTACTTTTAGAATAAAATTAATTTTTTTTTTAAATTTTCAAAAATAATTAAAATGTTTGTTTTTACTATACTAAAACAAAATCCATTAAGAAACAAAAAAACTTACAAAATTAAAAATGGCTATTATGCCGACACCGTTTCTTAAAGGGCAACAACCATAAAATGACTTTAACATTGTGGTTGCATTTGATAGAGAAATCTAAAAATGTGGAAAAAAACATTTTTATAAATTCGTTTTTAAGTAAGTATGTATGACACTGTACAAATGTCACGTTTTATAAGTAAAATACGTTTTTTAAGCAGAGTACTCAGTATCTACTATTTAGGTTTTAATTATTTTTTATATTGAATATTTTAACACTATTTACTTACCTTTTTATACTCCGGATTAATTATAGGTTTACTTTTATTGATTGAGCTGTCAAACTGTTGTTAATTAATTGTTATGTATTTTATATGTATCAGTGATGAAAATTCGGCATTTTGTTCTTAAAGGTTGTTTTATATTCTTCTTCGAAAAAAAAGGAAACAGATTTTTCGTGAAAGTAAGAAGTTATTCCATAGGCTGAGGTAACGTACAATTTATGATTTTATAATTATTAACGTAATGGTAAAATTATATTGTACAAAAAAAAAGAAAAAGGAATGAGTACAAAGTGTTGAGTATTCTTGCATAGATTTATTAAAAAAACAACCAAACGTCCATCTAAATAACATCAGTCAAATTATATGTCTATGTTTTTTATTATCTATAAAACATAATACATTTAAATTGTATTATAATATTATTATCTATTATTTTGCCCTTGGCCAAAGTCCATAGTTCGTGTAATCACGTAAAACACAAACTCTGTTATAATATCATTTACATTGCATCATTTATCAACATGATAATTGATAAATCAGTAGACTAGTTAATCAATTTCAGAATCCATACCTAAACTATATTTTCAGTTGATATTACGAACACAGTTTTTTGAATGTACATCAAAGCAATTTTTTAGGGCTAAAATACAGTACACAACTAAGCATATAAGCCGTGTATAATGTTAAAAACGTTTTTTGGATGCTGCCATTTGCGAACAGCCGTCAAATGGATCGCTATAATACAATTGGTAAGCGTAAACATAAAAGTAGTATCAATATGAATCTATTATTTTAAATAAATAATAAAACATTAACAATAATATTAATTTTATTTGGCGCTATTTTGAAATGGTTTAAACGTGTAAAATATGATATTTAATAGCACAATTCTCCACACAACAAACTAAAAACAAATATTTTTTAAACATCATAAATTTCTTTCTAAAAATAGTGTAAATATATATTTTGATAATTATTATAAGCACAAACAAAAGTAAATTTTTAACTATCTAATGCATTATGTAGCATAGTTTCTACATGCTAAAAAAAATTTATTTTACGAACAATTTCATTTTATTGTATTTTTTGGGCTACATATAGAGGAAAATATAATTATGCATAACAATTTTCAAATTAGTTTTAAAACTGTATAAATGAATTAATACAATTTTAACGGAAAATCGCGTATTTGTAACACAGATGTTTTAATAATACTTTAAATACATCTACATTTAACAATTATAAGTACATATTACATCAGTTAAGAATTATTTTTTGGAACAGGAACAAAAATAGGTACATTTTTTTGCTGAATGCGAATCTGTCTTTAGAATTTTTCTAGCATCTCAATTTGTTTTTTAAATCGCCCTCAAAGTTGTAAGTAACATACAAAACAATCATCATTTTCTTTCTATTGTGTAAAAAATAAAAATTTCTACATTCATTTTGAGACTAGTTTTTAAAAAAATCCGCTACTTTGGGGTCGGAGCATAGTGGGGACGGAGTATATTGGGACGTGGGAAGTGACAGGTCTTAATAAATTATTACTACTTTAAGTGATCAAATCGCTTTAATGCCAATTTCTAATGGTCAAAATTACAAAGCGCCGTAATTTTAAGTTGAATAAAGTGTAGTTTTTCTCAATTTTGAAAGGAAAAGTTTTATTTTAGTATTTGGCCCAATAAAGTACCTTTTAGATACGATTTCTGATTTATAGAGTTTTTACACGAAACTTCATGGGTCCGACAAATACAAAATAATAATAATACAAACACATCATTGTAAAAACAATAATTTCTTAGCTACTCATCGAAGCTAAAAAAAAACAAGACGCGATAGAGAAGTTTAAGGCCAGATTCGGATTCCAGCGAAGAAATTAAATATATATATATATATATATATATGCATTTTGGTCCTTGTTCTAAAATTGAGTTGTACAGTATTATTAGTTATTATTTATTATACAGTTTAGCATATAAATTATTTTTTTTAAATCTCAAAAAAATATTCTTACTTGTAAAATTGTACATCTAAACTAGAAAAAAAATTTATATTTTTAAATTACTGTTCTTTGGTAGGGTAGTAAAACAATTGAAAAAAAAACTTTCGCATTGCACTGTAGTTATAATATTATATTGTTGTTTTTTTTGTCTTTAGTTTATTATCGTGATAAAGCTCATCTTTCAATTTAATCTCCGACAAAATAATTTTGATCAGATAACCTACGACCAAGACTGCGATGAGCAATTATCTAACTATACAGCACAACCCAGGATAATGGATTTACAATGTTGGAATAATTCCAAAACTTTCCAAATTATTATTATTCCGAATGTTAAGTACTATTTAATGTTTAGAGCGGACACTTACATTCTTTCACGGCATCACTCCAATTCATCATTTGAGAACATTTTTTTCTTTTGCAATTTAATTCCATAAAAAAGTGACATTGTAACGTTTTTACATACATTTTTTAAACGTAGGAAACTTAAACAGTAAGTAAGATGGTAAAACAAAATAATAAAATATACGTTTGTTTGTGAATTAACAGAAATATTCATGGATTACATATACATATTGTTGGTAGCGTGGAATTGCATGAGCTTCTTTTTGAACTTAAGTCTGATCCACGCCACCTATAAAGTAAGCTGGAATGCGTTAAGCACAAAAGATAGTTTAGGTATAAACTATTTTACCATGTATTTAAACTATTTTAACTTGGTATTTAATGGTACAACTGAATAATTAAAATTCGCTATTATGAAATAAACAGTAACACTTAAAATCATCTGAAAAATTTATAAAATACCTACTTAAAATTCTAATTTTGCAAAACTAACAATGATGCTACATAATATTTAATATTTTAGATAGCGCCACAAATGGTTTATGCTTGGTTAACTGTGTATTACGCCACCTTTGGAAAAAGTGTCGCAATTCAAGTCAAATTAATTTTCAGCAGAACTCTGAATAAATACGTAAGTATAAACTATACTTGTTTCAAATAAATTAAATGTGTAGTTTGTATAATTTCAGTTTTCAGACATTATCAATTAGTTTAAATGTTTTAGCTGACAACACGAATCCGTCTTACACATAAAACACATCACACACAGACATTTAAACATGTGTATGTTCATACAAAAGTGTATTGCTATTTATTTGTGATTAGTCCGAGTCCAATATTAATAATATATTTTCACATCTACCTCACAAACACTTATTGTTTTGTTTGGTTAAATAAAAAAAAAAAAAAATTTATTAATAATAATAGTAATTGTCTTTTTGTGTTATATAGGATCCTGTGGGAATCTTAAATTTGTGCTTGATTTGCTTCGAATTGTACGTAGTGCAATCGTTTTATCATCAAGAAAAGCTAGCCTCAATGAATACATTCGTCCAGTTGAAATGGAAGTACCTACCGAAAAACAAAATTCCACCAAAGACTGTGCGAATTGCGGTTTCCAATACTTCTATAATAGAATCCGAAAACGATAGTGAAACCTTACAAGACGACACCAAAGAAATTCCAATATTCGTAAGGGCGATGCAGCAAAATCCATGAGTCAAATATTGGTGATAAAAATACTCTAAAAAATTGTATACCTATATAATATTTGAATACATTAATAGATGTTGAATTTAATGTGCGCCATAACATAATTAATTAATTATAATATGCGTGTACTTACTGAAAAAAAATTATCAAAATGTAATAACAATTGTTGGGTGATAAATCGACCCTTTTATTATGTATAACAATTAGATATGTGATTATTTATTTATTAATTATTATTTATTACAAACTATTCATTTTTTAATTTTTAATAAGTAAGCATAATTTTATTTATACATAGGTATACCATTTTATTTCTATGGATTTTTAAAAAAAACGCATATGGCAATTAATGACTAATTGACCACGTGTGTAAAACTTATGTGAATCCCTCAACAGAGTAATTAAAACGAATATTTCGTACAATGTAGACATCACTACTTTGTGGGTGCATACTAGTTGCATCCGGGAAACTACAAATTGCATGGGATCTTTATTGTAACTAAAAAGGTTAACCTACAGTAGGTACCTCATAGACTTAGGTATGTATACGAGTTGCATCCGAAAAATCATTAAATATTTGATGGTACTAGTTGCATCCCGCTAAAGAAACAGGGGCTCCAAAACTACATAAAAATGTTATTGAATTTTTCTTTTTTTTAGTGAAAACTGATAAACTGATATTATCGTTAGTACTAAACCACGAAAAGTAAATAGCTGACAGAAATACTTAGTGCAGTATTGGAATATTTTATCAATATACAATACATTTACCTTTCATAAAAATTCGAAATTTGTATTAGTTCAAAACATAACTACACCATTAGATTTATTATTATGTTTTTAGAAAAATTCATCTTCATACATTATATCAATTTTTATGTATTTGTAAAAAAAAATTAACCTAACCTAACTTAATATTTAGCTATAAATTTAAACACTTTTATTTTAAAAGTTGAAATAATTTTTACAATAAAAATATTTTTTAAATGTAGTTATTATAATAGATATTTCATTTTAATACATTATAAAAGTATTTTTCACGTTATTGGGAACCATTGGTACTGCAATTGTGCCCCAAAGCACTCAACAAAAGGATGCAACTAGTGCAACCTTTTTAAGTTACGATAAGATTTGGGTTGTGATTAAGGGGCCATCAGGATGCAATTCGTACATAAAATTTGCTTCTACCTAGCCTCAGGATACAACTAGTATGCACCGACTTTGATAGGTTGACTTTTTTAGGAATGAAACTTGGTTCTTTTTCAAGGTTAAGTTTTCGTTTAGGATATTATTTGTTATCTTCAGAATCGTGGACGTCGTGTTGGTTTTTTGAGAGGCACTGGAGGGATTCTCTGGAGGAATTCACTGGAAGCACTGGAGATTATGTTTGTCGTATTTTTTCAAACCGGCCTAAACCGATCAACAACACGGCTCGCAACCGCCTTTAGCGGGAAACACCGTAGAGTCTACCGAATTTACTATGTCTACTTAGACAGCAATTTCGAACAACGTCGGTAAAAAGAATCGATAGAAAAATACTGAAATCATCTAAACAAAAAAAATTAAAGAAGGGAAATATGAGCAAAAAGACGTTTTGGTCAGGTCGAATTACATCCAATATACAATAATATGTTATCTGGTAAAATAATATTAAATAGTGGGTTATCATGACGTTTATAGTCGTTGTACTATAAACCTATATCTAGTAAAAAAAAAAGATAATTAACACTATTGACTTATGAACAAAATAATACAACTCACTAAACGTGCGCTACAATAAAAACTTATTCCGCTATACCTACTACTTGTCCCGCAATATTTTTCAATATTAAATACGATTTAATTAAATTAAATTTTTAAATACGATCAAGTATAAAAAAATTATCATTATAGATCGAATCATGCTTTCGAAATTTTGTGGTTATCCGTTGAAAACAGGAGTTGGTTTTATTTCGATTACTAATCTGGTAAATATATATCGTTTTTAATAATATATTAAATAATGTTATTGTTTTAATAATTATTGAGAAGAAATGCGTTGGTACTTGAGCCTATAAACTTAATTTATAATAAATAATAACATTTTTTTAAAAATCTTATTTATGTGTAAATTGTAATAGTCATTTGTTTTATAATATACCTACCTATTTTATTAAAATATGATCCCAACAATCTTAAGAGTTAGTCTATTCATTTTAAATAATTTAGACTCAACATATGCCATCAACAAATCAATCATCAATATAATTACAGTTTTTTTTATGTAAATTACAATCTATTTTTTTTTTTGCTTTGTACATTTTTTCATTGTTATTATTTTTAAGGTCTTATCGGTGATTTTTATTTTATACTACTTGTGGGAGCGTTCTGTGGATTATGGATACTCCCACATTAACAACAATTGGAGAAAACCTTTAGATGGTCAGTACACATCAACTAATTACCACATAATATCAGTAAATACATTTTAGATTCAATAAGGATGAGCTGAGAAAAAATTAAATTTACAATTAATAATTATGTATACTACTTTGTTTCCGAGTCCACGATAACTTTTTATAACCACTGGACCAATTTTATAGATACAACTTAATAAATCAGTTTATATAGTATTAAAAAAATTAATAGTTATTGAAAAATGAACAAAATATTTTTCAGACGTTTTCATGGATAATATTACAATAATTTTCATGAACGTCGGTTCTGTTTCGGCGTTTGCTAACTTTGGATTAAAACAAGCAACGTTAAAGGTATGCAAGCAAAATAAATTATCAGTAGCTATACACATACAGGATAATCAACTTAAGTGATCTATTCCTTTTTTTTTTTTGGAAAATTAATTGCAACCTCAGAAGATTTTTTATTTTGAAAAGTTTTTTTACATGATAGTACGTAAATATTTAAATATCAAAAATTATTTGAGCTCTGGAAACTACCAAAAGAAGATAATTATTTAGAAATATTATAATAATGTTATTTACTTGGAAATCTTCGGATTTATGTGTCCTTGCGCCACGTTTTCTCGTCCAAGCGGTGTCATTTAGTATTTTGGCATTCTTTACATTTTGCAGTTTGCTCTTTCCCTTTTGGAACTGTAATTTATTATTTATTAATTTGACCTAACCTGTCATAAGTCATTGTGTTATTCTTGTTTACCTACTCGTATGCCGTCATTTCCTGGTCAGTTTCGATGTGGTTTCATTATTTAAAATGGTTCCAGCAGAAGCCACTTGAAAAATCATAGAATGGTTGGACGAATAATACAAAAACTTTTAGAGCTGTGCACAGGAAGAGCAAAATGTAAAGATTGCCAAAATATTACAAAAATAAATGAACGAACCGCTTAGTTAAAAAAATGCGGAAAGAACATATATAGCGGTGGGCATGACAATTTTTTCATGGCAGTAGAAAACCATCGAAACAGCCAGACTAAGTCGCAGGCCGCAGCAGTGGAACGGTGAGTATCGCTTCTAAAAGCGACTCTGAAATTTATTTGAAATGTCAGCAGAAAATCAAAGATATAGATATTAGATACACATACACCCGAAGATTATCAAGGTAAAATACTTAAAATAAATAAATCTTTAACTCATTCAACGTAAAATAACATAAACAAAAAAATGTTTTCGAAAAGATAAAAAGAACGAAATTGCAATTAATTTCCGAAAAAATGGGTGGATTTCTTTACAATTAAGTTATAATCAATCTCTCTATACACATATAGGTAGGTATCAACTGTAAAATTATTGTTTAAACAAGTTATAGTCATTTAAAAAGAATACCTTTTGGTTTTTAGAGAATTTGTTATAAGTGTTTTTAAGCGACATTAAAATAATGTTTGGGGACCATTTTTTTAACTGCTTATTATAATGCACAGAAAAAAACCAATGTTCAAAATGTTTCTTTTATACTATGTACTTTCGCTGGTATGTTCTAGAACCAAACTAAAATTAATTTATATATTTAAAGATAAAAAAAGAATTGATTTTTTCAGTAGTAGGAGTGAGGTGATCAATTTTGCTTTTAGCACCTCCCGGCGCACGCCTATGATTAATTGTCAATACTTGATTATTTGCAAAGTGAACTTATCTTGTAATCATGTTAATAATCGTTAAAACATTTTTTAACAGAACGAAACGCATAAAATTTACCTGTGGCTTTTATTCGGTTATGTGCAAATCGTTACGATGGTCCTTTTCGAAGCTGACGTTTTATGCAGAAACACGATGACTGATAAAAATCTGATTCGAGTAGTTTTGGGTTTCCTGATCGTTGACGGTAAATTGTTCAATATTTCAAATAATTGAACAAAATTATTATTTACAAACAACATTTTTTGACGATATAATATGGTGTTTTTTTTTACATTTGTGCGACTATGTATAGCGATATTGGTGTATCAGCTTTTGGTGGTCCAATCTTTTTACAAGGAAGAAAAACTGGTGGAAGAGACTAGTTACGCTAGATTGCGCTCCGAAATGATAACTCAACAAGTCGATAGAGAAGACAGACAGTGGGAAAACGAGTCTCACACTATAGATTCATAGAATTACAAGCCTTAAAAAAATATACGCAAATGAAATAAATGAAATGTATTCATACGAACTCCCCGATTTATGTTTGATTTGTCCTGACAAGTTTGAAGTTACTAAGACAGTAGTTTTCGAGAAGCAGCTGATATTTTACACACTTTTTTCTTCAATTATAGATTTATAATTACAAATTATAAATATTACCTGGATCGTATTTCCACAGACCGAGCACCCGCATACATTTACTATGATAAACAAAATGTTTATTATCTAAAAACTTCAGACTGCCAAAAAAATGTTTCCAAAACGTTTCATCGCCGTTAAAATCACTTGTCCATCGTCTTGCCTATCTTCTAGCCCTGTTACAACTGTGCATCACTGAATATGAAACATTACTGAACAAAATGAATGCTATTTAGTATCCTCGTAGCAAATACTAAGTAAGAAAAATTAAAATTATTAAACCACTTGGTTTGTATTGATAAGTAGCATCTGTACCACTATAGACAAAAAAAAAACAAAAATTAATATGATTACAATGTTTTAATATATTTTGTTTTAATAATAATTATTATTGAAATTTATACTATTATCTCAGTATATGAAAAGCTATAACTCTAAAACACCTACTGAAATAGTTCTTCAGAAAGAAAGAATTCTATTATCAAAATATTCCACACAACAATATTTGTGTTACTAAATTTTGATTTTCTATCAAAATACGATTTTACAATATCATAACAGTAAAAACATTGTAAAAATTATTATAAAATATTGCAATTTAAAAAATATATTTTAACTGCGTGGCATACACTTTTAAACAATAACTGTATTCTGTACTAACAATTAATAAGTTAATTTAAGCACATAAAAAATACATTTCATATATTACTCATATTTCATTTTTTATGTCTGCGGTTTTTGAAATGTGTTTTTATTTTACAAATTAAAACCTAAAACATTTCTGAGTAGGAATATAATGATTAAAACGACCCTACCTTTTTGGATAGGAAAGGTTTATTCAATTTAATAGTAAATAATGTATTGTTTCTAAATAATCACATAAAAAGAAACAAATGAAATTATTCAAATTTTTCTTTCTTACTTAGTACTGGAGCTTTGTTGTACCAAATGTATTCAAAGTGTAATGTAGTTTTCAGGGGGTTTGTTCAGTGGTTTTAGAAGAAAATATTCATTCTATGACTATGCTACCCCTTGGACCTCTGTAAAATACTGACTATATTTATTTGCTGCCTAATTACATTTCTTTTAATCTCCTGGGTGGCGCTGTAGGTAAAGCTTTAAGTTTGGTTATAAGAGTATTGCGTTCGGCTCATTCAAACTACGAACCACATGTCCCTCACCTCTGTATCGCACTAACTCTGTTTACACGTGTTGCATAAAATATTAAAATACATTACAGAAAGATGTACGTATGTGCTCAACTGTGTTCTTACAGATTAATAAATGTATGTATATTAGGGTGGTCGTTAATTTCGATTCTGAGGAGCGCAGTATAGAAATAGGTTTGAAATGTCCTAATTTGTTCAGATTTTTCAGTTGAGAATAACAGGTGTCGCACTGCGCAAAATTGAAAAAACACTGAAAAAAATTTTCAACTTTAAAGAATTTTCGGGAATTGGTACTGGTACAAATGAGAATGTAGATAAAAGAATCCAATTAATTTCCAATTTATACAAGCCACTTATAAAACATTTGTTTGCATATTCAATATTTATAATCCAGTGCTACATTATGCCTCGTGTTTATATATTATTGTATATATTTCATACGACTCAACTCTCAAGAGCAGTATATATAGTAGAGCTTAACAAAAATTTCACTAAAAATTAAAAATAAAACAAAACCCTACCATCGATATTCGTTTATTTATATTAAAATTTATAATTAATATACAATATAAAAAATGTTATATAGTTGGCTTGTATAAATTGGATTGTCTTTTATCTACATTCTCGTTTGTACCAGCACCAATTCCCGAACAATCCTTCATAGTTGAAAATTTTTTTGCAGTTAATTAGCCGTTGTAATAAAACAGTTATTGGAAAATAAATAATAACAATGTTATTTCAATACAAATCTTGAGGCCCTGTGCGCAGTGCGGCACCTGTTATTCTTAAGTGAAAAATCTGAACAAATTAGGACATTTTTTTTTCGACATTTCAAACCTATTTCTATACCTTGCTCCACAAAATCGAAATTAACAACCACACTAATGTATATTAATATATGTAATAAAAATAAATTATATCAATGTTGCATTTCAAACAAACACTTTTGCCAACGAATCTTTGTATTAGTTAAGAAACATTTTTAAACAGAGTTTTTAATTATTTTATTTAAAAAAAATAATATCTCAGTTAACCTTAAAAAAATAATTTTCATTTTTTGCTTCTAAATATAAACTGCAGCAACATTGGCCTGTTATTGTCATACTGTGACCACTTACCATTGTAAATGCGATAATACCAAGATACTAATAATTATTAAATGAATTCATGAATAGACACAATTTTAATACAGTATAATATATAAAACAATTTTGTACTAAATTTAATAGCTTAAAATATAATAGTATAAAATAAATACACATGACTTTCAAAGTCGAAAGTTGAAAGTCGGTAATAATTAATATAAAAAATACATAAAAATATAAACACTTTCTTTTTGACTCGTATTAAAGTTTACTTACATAAAAATAAAAATAAATAACTTAGTTTATGTATAAAATACAGTCGAAATACTACGATCAGAAATCGGCTTTGTAGCTTACCACAGTATCCATCCTGTGCAGCGAAGTTGAAAAAGATCTCAGTTGCAATTCCTGTGAATTAGCAATATAACTCGGAGCCGTTTCGGCCCATTCTTGTGGTATATCGACGTCGGGTTTGGTGTATATTTGCAAATCAAATGCACAAGGACAGTCGAGTAATGGTAAAAAACTAACAGTAGAACAAATTTGCCTGAGCACGTCCCTTATTTCTTTTTGTATTGTAGACAATTCTTTATTTCCGACAGAATCGGGATTTGGATCTCCGGATCCTTCGTACTGTACTTTAAAGTCCCATCGCTCCATCACTTCTTTTGTGGTCACGTTTGATATAACCATTGACATCTTTTGGATTTTCTGTTCTAACAGCCAATCTGAAAAGTCAAAATTTTACATTTAATATTTTTAATTTTGTACAATACACAATGAGATATATTGTTATAAAATATTTTAGCTAACATCAATACAACGCAAAGATCGTAAGTTACAATATTACAAATCTCGTAAGGAAACTGTTAAATTGACAAAAATAACAATTTTATAACGTATAACCACAAAGTAAACAATTTTATCGAATATTATTTTCCATTTCTGAAAAATTTGCCATTATGCACCTGTGATCTTTGTGATTTAGGTTGACAAATTTTATTAATAAATTCAAATTATTTAAAACAACATTACTAACATAACAAAATCATTCAATACTTACAAACCAAATTACTCTGGTGTGAAATTAAAACAAAAAATGAAATGGAAAACATTTAATTGTCATTAAGAAATAAATCAAAACAATAAATACACAACAGTTTTTTGTAAATATGCTGCGTTAAATTTCACTTGTCAACAACATGTGTGTAAACACAAAAAAATGATTATGAAATACTACGTTATTTAATTTTAATTAGTAGATCAAATGTAAATCACTATTTTCTTATAAATGAAATGTGTTTAACAACCAAACATACTTTTCATTTGATTCAAAACGGGTTCTAGGAACTGTTGAATTTTTTCGTCGGTTGACACTAGAATTGATAAACCAAAATGTTCTTCGGTTTTAAACGATTCGGGCGGGTAAATACCTCTTTGAAACAGAATGCTGTTTATTCCGAAATCTAAAACAAACCAAATGAGTTTTATAAAAGTTATGGCAATTACATAGAACCTATTTTTGCGTTTCGCTCATAACAAAATACTCACTCAAATAGTCCATGACTAATTTTGCAGATCCTTTGAGCGTGATGGCATTCTGATTCTGTTGTTTTGTGGCCATCGTTTCAGGGTGAATTTAAATGGTTTTCAGCTGGAAAAGTTATAATTTTTCGAAACTAAATTTTCCAATTGGCAATTAGCAATACGATTTACGAAAAACAAAAATAACGGAAAACTGAAAAGTCCTAACGAGTTTTAACTTTTTTTTAAGGTTAACATTGATAAGAACATATGGAATTGAGCGGTAAAAAAACTGTAATCAAGGTGACCACCTTGACTATAATTTAGGAGGTTATTTGTTTTGATGTGCGCAATCGCATTACCAAATGCTAAATGGTAAAAACCCGCCAATTACAAAAATCAAATCATTTATATTAGTTCATATCAAGTACAATAAATTATTAGTGTCAGTCTGTCAGACATCAGTGGCGTATTCTCAGTGGGGTATGGGGGATAGAATCATCCCCACTCACTTAAGCTATTGTGTTTATAAATTATTTAAATATAGTTTTCTGTATTTATCATAATATCCACTAATATCCATTAATTTCCACTTTTTTTTTAAATGTTGAATTTTTTATTTTGTGTATTTATTTTGTGTTTAAGTAAATAGTTTAAGGTTTCAAACTCATAATTGTCTTCAAAATTCACATTTATAATGTTTGAGTTATTTTTTGGGGTTTTTCACTAGAAAAAAAAATGTTGACTACTGATATTTTATTTTACTAACAATATTTTCAAAAAAATAATTTTTAGAACACTGCGTGGTTAAATATATCTTTATAATATTTTGCTTTGTGTGTAGGTAGTAGCCACGGAACGACACAACCAATATTGTGAAACGGTTTTTCAGTTGAACCTATGTTTCCATAATGTTTATGGTTTTATGACCACACATGAGCTGCACAGAGATCGTATGACTCAATTCGTGTACATAGATAAATAATATGTTCCTGCCGACAAAAGGAATATGAATCTTTTGTTTAATTATTTTATAACGTTTTGAACGTTTGTCGGGAGGTTTCGTAAGTAACTTAATTCTGGAAAAAAGAGGTGAACAATTAGACCACACGTACATTATACAGGAATCAACCCATTAAGTACCACAGGTACGTATAATGTAAGTGAAAGAGCCTCACACACAATGGAATGACGCATTAAGGCAATGGTTATAGGTAAGACGGCCATTTTAATTGAAAAAGTAAATAATTCAAAATGTAGAAACCTCATCAATATTCATCCTTCGGTACTTTTAAAAAAAAAAATTATTTGTATTGAGATAAACTAAATGTTATAATGTACTACAGTACCAATACAAAAACATTTTTTTTACATGCTTTATCTGCTGTCGCAAATTTTTTAGAAAAAACTATAACTTCTCAGTTTAACATTAAAGCTAAAATATTAAATAATATTAAAAAAACTAATTAAAAAATGAATTGAGTAATGCCTTTTAAAAATAAACCTCTTACGATTTCTTATAATTTTATTATTATTTGGACTCGTCCCGTAATAATAAATAAAACAGGCAAGTTAGTTCCGTAAAAAATTACAAATGCAAAACAAATAGTTTGTTCTAATTTTTTGTTATAACATTAAAAAATTGAATATGTTTTTAAAAAAACATATTAAATTAGAAGAAAAAAAGTATTATTAAACTGGTTAACACATCCTATAAAGCAAAAAAATAACTTGTTTTTAAAATGTGTTAAAAAAGTATATATTTTAGCCAAAAAACTTTCACTATATAATATTAATAGTTGTATAGTATTTAAATTTTTTTCTGTATGGGATAATATTAAGTTAAATTTGAGAATAAAATGTACGGTATTTTTTTATAACTAATTATTTAATACCTAACTATGTATTATTGTTTTTTTATATCTCATATATTGCCAATAACATTTTTAGTCTTGAAATATGCAATTGTGTGATAATGTAGGTAATAAAATAATTAATAATATGTAAGCTCTTTTACACAAGCGTCGTTATGTACTTGCATAAAAATATATGCGACAGATGATTGTTGTTTACCGCTGGAGCTTACATTAATTATTCAGCAAGGTAATTTTAATTTAAATTGTTAACATTCTAAATTCTAAAATAAATAAAATAAAATAAATGGAACGTTTTATTACGTATCAGGCAGGCTATTATACCTATTATACTATTCCTATAGTAAAACTCTGATTACATTATTACGGTATAAAATGTACCTAATATAATATATTTTTAATTTTAAGTAGTCCTGTAAGTAAAATATCATCTTGAGTCTTGACTATTTTCCATTGTAGAATGAAGTTTAAATTAAATTCTTTAGATATAAAAATGGCTAAAACATTTTAAGCTATTTATAAAATATATTAATTCTGTATATTGTACAGTTCTATAGGCCTATTTTATGCCGGGAAGATACCTAAAAAACTGATATTAAATATGAGAATAATTATTATCAATTATATATACATTAGATGTACCTATTATAGTTTTATAACAGTTTTTTTTATATGAATAGAGTTGATAATTAGAAATACACGATTCTGAGCCGTACTGAAAGTGTAAATTGATATACTGTAGTGTTTAACGGATGAGGCCATACCTATATATTATTATGTATATAAATATTATGTCTATTGGTAGGTATATATATATATATATAGGTATTATTATGATGCCTGGCGTGCGTCGATGTGCGGTACCCATTGATGAAGACGAAACGGTGTGTGTGTCTTCTCTTTTCACACAACAATAAAAACGCATACGCATTTACAATGTTATATTGATGTAAAATACGTGATCCGAAGGATATGTATACACTGTGCCAATGGTAATGGGTGCAATAAAAATAAAGACCGTAAGTCTCCACCTACCTATTACTGACCACCAGGAGTTAAGTCCTTTCGGTGTGGGACCGGCCGAAAATTTCTAAATTTTTACCTGACCTGGTCACTATCACTGGGCACTCAGGTGTGAACGAGACAACACCAATGTGAGAAACAAAAACGCGCGTTACTTGTTAATTGTGTTTTCGTGTATTGAATAACACGATATCTCGATACTGCAATAAGTACATGTAATTTGGGTGAAAATAAAAAAATCTTTTAAAAAAAGTAATAACTAAACGCCTCCAAGACGAAATGAGTTCTTCGGCCGAGCTACAGAACTTGTCTTGGGACAAAGGGCAACCAGTGCGAGCGAGACTGTTGGAAGCACAACTTTGGTCCGAGTTTTTGGCCATCAACAACGAAATGATCGTGACGAAAACCGGCAGGTAAGTTCATATAACGTTTAATAAAAAAAAAATTCTATAATAAAAACCATTCAAGGTATTGACTTTTTAAAATCAATTGCTAAGCTCTTTGACAGGTTAAAACGATTGACCGATTGACGGTTAGGTCAATACTATATTCGATCCAAAAAAAATTCTCTATTTGATATGGTGAAAAAACAAATGATTTTAAAATATTGAGAAAACGATTTGAACTTTAATTCGATGCGAAAAATTATATTTATTATTTCTATTTGAAAATATCAGCTCTATTATGGTTCACGGTTCAACGTTTCAAAAATATTTCACAACATATTGTTAAAACAAAAACAACATATTATATAATTGTTATCCAAATATTGTACAGAACAACGCACGCAGTTTATCCTTTTTGATATTTGAAATTATTTAAAAATATTTAGTATTTATTAAATATTTAGTAAGTGTATAATGGAAATTTTTTTTTAAAACCATTTTGATCGATGATTTGATAATTCAAAAATTGTTTTTAAATATTAGAAAGAAATACATTTTTTTAACATTAAAGTAAGTTTTATTATTTTATAATTTTGTTTTTCTTTACTGTTTGAGATATATAAAAATGTTTGAAAAATTTTGAGTTATTTCATAAAAAAAAAATAATGTTTAGATAATAATATTATTAATAGTTGGTCAAATATATTATAAATATTATAATATTTTTAATTACGGGTTTTAAATGTAGAGTATAAATGTTTGTTTTAAATTTAAGCTTACTTTTTTGAAACGTTGAATTACGGTCAAATTACTTAAATATGTTAAACTTTTATTGGAAAATATTATTATAATTCTATAAATTAAAATAAAATTTAACATTTAATTATTCGTATAAATTATTTAACATTAATTGTTCGAGTGAATTTTTGTACTAAAATTTTGTATTTTATAGAAAACTTATTTTGTCGAACACAAAAAAATATAATTAAAAGTTATATTATAGTATATATTTCGTTAAACAAATTATGATAATAATGAATAAATTTGAATTACTTTGCACATTGAAAATCAATGTGCTAGAGTACTTTTAAACTACATGATTACTAATTTACATTAAATATTTTGATGTTATTTGTAAATTCCTATATTAGCTATAAGTAAAACTTACACAATAATAATAATATTATTACCTATATTATGTCATTTCATGAATTATTAATATTCTTTATATTGCAATATTTTAATATGCTTCTTAATTACGCACTAACTAGCAGTCAATCGTATGATAATTAGACAAATCCTAAGAAACCATAAGAAAATATGGCAATGTAAATCATTGAACTATCATACACCATTAATGATGATGGTGTATTCTATAAGTACTGAAGCCCTAAAAACATTTTGACACCTGACATGCGAAATGCTGACAATTTAGTAGGAACTATGTTCTAATGAAAATATTCGGTGTGTAAAACAATAAATTACTTAAGATTTCAATTTAACTGCAATAATTACAACATATTTTGTTATAAAATTAACTATTTCGTACTCACCATTTATGAATGCTTCGGAATAAATTTAATTTTTGGTCCAAATTATTTTTTCCACGTTTGGTTTTTATGCTAAACTAAATACTAGTGGATTTTAAAAATGGTTTAAACTTAATTTTTGAGTATCCGAAAAGTTACTCAAAAGTTTGCAATAGCTCATTTATTGTTTTAAATACAAACCTATTTTTTTAATTTTTGATGCATAAAATTCGTTTTTACACATTTTGAAGAAAAAAAAATTAAGTAGTTTTTAGTTATAATTCTTGATTTTATGAATTAATAGGATTTATGTTTTTTTGAAATCAATAATTTAATTAAAAACTGAGTACGGTTGATCGAGAAGGAACAATTTCTTTTTTAAAAATATACCAATGAGCGAAGGGTAGGAATTAGTTTCTTAAGAACGAGGATGAGAACGAACTACTTAAAAGAACGTTAACAACATTGGTCATTTTTTAGGAGGATGTTTCCGGTTATCAAAACACAAGTGACAGGCCTCAGTCCGGGAGACATGTACACGGTGTTCTTGGAGTTTGTACAGGTGGTCGGTCAACGATGGAAATACATAAACAGCGAATGGTCGCCAACCACCACGTCGGACCCGGCCACCAAGAATCCATTTTACAAACATCCTGAATCTCCCAACTTTGGAAAACACTGGATGGAACAACCCATTTCGTTCGCTAAGATCAAACTAACTAACAGGCCGGATAATCCAGGACAGGTAACACAGCAGTACATAGTAATTACACTGTACAACGAAATATAACTTTTTTGGTGCAAGATCCAAACATATCTTTTTTTTTTTGCTGAATCTCAATCTGGCACGTCATTTTGCTTTTTAAAACTTCTCCAAAATTGTAAGTTACTTATAAAGTTCAGAGCTTTATAACTTTCTTTTGTGTTGATAAGGACTACAAATTTTACATTCGTTCTGAATTAAGCAAAAAAAAAAAAATAGAATAAAAAAACTATTTGAAATAAATTAAAAAATTATATTAACTCACAGAACATACTAAAAGTATTACAAAACGTTGTTTGCAACAACTACAGGAAAAAAAATGTTTTTTGCTTGTTTCAATATCGTATTAGTAATTTCTTACTTCTCTAGTCAATCTTATTATATTATCCATCTGTGATCACTCTATTCTTTCCCTTTTTCTGCTACTGACGCAACTTACAACTACTTCTTACATTTTATACACTTATTCCATTACCTTAGTCTGTATCCACACATTAATCTCAACATTGTCTTTTATAGTCTTATTTAATGCTCAAAACTTAATTATTTAAGAAGATTTACGTTTACGGAAACGTAGGTTTCCCGGTTTAAACCATCTTATTCTCAAGTAATTTTTTGTTTTAGTTCTTCCCTTCATTGCTAAAATGCCCACACCTCCCAACACTTCTAAATTCTGATTATTCTAGTCCACAAAATACGTTATCTACAAACCTTAGACATCAAGGTGCTTTGGCTTTAGAGCAATATACGTCCCTTGGATTGGAAGTTCAGAGGAAAACAAGTACCAGCTTAACTTACTCTTGCTTTCCTGTTGTTCCAACTAATACGTTCAACGGTCGGTTTCACTACTTCATACATACTATTTTCATTAGGTATTATATTTTACAGTATAATATTTTTATCTATCAGCATAATAGTATAGTATAAATCAGTGTAGTGTAATATATTTAATGATTATACGGTATACCTAATATCCTCAACTGTTTTTACATACACACTTAGTGTAGTATTCTTTTTTAAATCTTTAATATATTATTTTTTATTGTAAAATGCTGTGAAATGTTCCTTTAATATAGCGATTAAAAAAACAAAGGAAATAATCAATTTTTTTTGGGCGGGGGCTTCAGCTACAAATTAATTATTTTGGGGGGCTAAGCTCCCCCCGATCTCCGCCAATGTTCATCATAATAATTAATAGTACTTAATTGATTTGTATATTATTTTATACAGACCCATTTGAATTCTTTACACCAATACGAGACTAAACTGCATATAGTCAAAGTAGGTGATCCGGAGAACGTTCAGATATTTGCAATGCCTCAGACCAGATTTATGGCGGTCACAGCGTACCAAAACGAAGAGGTTTGAAATTTTACATTCTCATAATCTCATTTTAGTATCTACAGAAATGCAAAACTGCTATACTCGTAGTTTTCAATTTATTATGTTTTTCTTTTGGACGTTAGGTTACCAAGTTGAAAATCAAATACAACCCGTTTGCCAAAGCGTTCAAGGACACCAAAGTAAAAAATGAGGACAAAGAGAGGAAAGAACACTATGACGTCTATCCCACCTCGGCCGTCGCCTATGGTATGGTTTCAGTTCAATATTTAATTTCTTGCTCGGTATAGGTTAACATTTTAGCTTCGACGCGAAATTAAGGAGATATTGGTCTTCAAATTATGTATTTTGATTTTTATGTCAGGACTCACGATATCTTTTTACCCACGGGACCGATTTCATTATGTAGCAAGTAAATAGATCAGAAATGTTATCCGAAATATAGGAATATAAGTAGTAACCTATTTCATTAGACCAGAAAGTTCTCTTTCCACTATATAATAACACCCTAAAAATAGACACAGTAAAGAACCAAGGAAATATCATTAACCTTTACCCCTAGAACGGGTGGAAACTTTTAATTTTAATTTGATTGGACAGTTTGAATTAAGAAAAACTTCCCAAAATAACGATTACTAATACACTAATATTATTCTTTTAACATTTAATATTGTTACCAATATTTTTGACTTCTATAGAAAACACTTTGAACTTTTCACACGAGACTTATGCGACCCCATCCGAGGATTGGCTGTACCAGTATGGAAGTCAAAGGGATGTGCCGAGTAGATGTCAGTGCACAGCTTGTTACTTCACCAAACCCCAAAAATTCCACAACCCCGAACAAGACAACACGACTTACCAGCAGGCAGCTTATAGTTGGCACAATTTAGGAGGCTGAACAATAGTCTACAACGATTGCGACAAGGCATTTTAAATTTTTATGTAACTTATTTATACATACTTTATTTTAGTCTGGTTATATTATAAATACAATGTACAAACAGTGGGACAAAATCCAGATTTTTGGAATTTAGAAAACCTAAAATTGCTTTGAAGTACGAATAATTTGTTCAAACTATGGGCAACAGCAGTTTACACTATTCTGTTTTTTAGGAACTTCAAAGAATTTAGGTTTTTTATATCTTTAAAATCGGAATTTCGTGCAATTCTGTGTATATATTATAAATTTTTTTTCAAAGTATGTTATATATTTATATTTTGTGTGTGAATACTCGGGATAAAACATCACATTGATATGCAGTAAACTATTTTTTAAAAAACAACATACCTTAAACATAATGAAGCTATTGCAAGAATATTTCGGTTTTTACTCAAGACCATTATTAATTTTAATATGAATTTGATGCGAGTAAAAAATGTGAATAAATCAAATAAAGGGTTCAAAAACAAATATGTTTTGTTTATTTTAATATATTTTGTTGACCATATTATAAAAAAATAGATTTTATATTTTATTTAAAATTTTACACTATACTCAAAACTGATCGATGCGATCAAAAAGTTGATAAAAATACCGAGTAAAATCATTTAAACTATATTAAATCAAACGTTTCTTTAAAAATATTATTAATGTAAAGAATATATTAACTTGGGCAACCTTGTTGTTGTTTTTTTTTTTTATTAAAAATTAAGTCTTTTAAGCTTTTCATTTTTTTAATAAGAAATAGGGCGTAGTGTACATAAATTATATTTATATAAAATACAACCCATACTATAAAATTGTTTTGAATTATTTATTTCTAATAGTTAAAACAAAAGAAAAAAATCTTAGTAAAAGATACTTAGGTGTCGTATCGGACGACAAATAATTAATAAAGCTGATTTAAACTTAAGTAGAAAAGTTAACTAGATTTATCTAGAAAAATTAATACGTTATAGTGATAGTCTTGACTGTTTGCATTGAGTTACTGTCAATAATCCACTAAAGGTCTGAAACATAATACAAGTTACATACAATAATAATAAACACTGTTCGTAACATTTTTTTTAAAATTACCATTGCAAAACAAATACATACTTAGATTGAGAGTTAGTTTGTGTTTTTGTACTGGGTATATAACGTTTAGGACTCGCTTCGTACGTAATTTTCGCCACCGGACGATTGTCAACAATTTCTTTTTTTCTGCGATCTGGACTTTCTCTTGGTTTGATTTCTCTTCTGACCGGACTATCTCGTCTGTCACCTCGTCTGTCTCTTCTCTCAGGACTATGACGTGAACGATAATCATCTCTACGATCATAGTCACGTCTATCATCTCTTCTGTAGCGCTCCCGTTCTTCACTTCTCTTTGGCCTTCTCCGATCATCGCTTCTAGATCGGCGTCTACGATCGGTGCTTTTTGACCTGTGGCGGACTATGCTCCTTGATCTAGTTCTACACCTGCGTTTTCTATACCTGGAGATAAGATAGTTAAATGATAACTTATTAAAATATAATGAATAGTATATTATTATTATTAATATATATATATATATATATATATATACCAATATAAAAAATTAGGTTCTACCATTTAGTCAATCAATTTTTTTTAGGTTTGGGTCAGTTTGGTTTTAAAAATTTATATTATTCTAAAATGTTTAATATAGTAAAACAAAATTTTGTGGGGATGAACTAGAAAAGATAACTTTTCTGGTATTATGCGAGTCATATTACTATATAATAACTTATATTACTTTATAATATGCTTTCTTAAATATTTACCTGGAATAACTTGAACTAGAACTTGAGCTAATGGAACTACGAGACTTTGATCGTGATGTCGAACGAGATGACGATGATGACGAAGAAGTCAACGGGGAACTGTTATCGGGATGACGTAATTGCCGTCTCCTAAAATGCATTTAAATTATATTAGTAAATCAATTAAAATTTCAAAAAAACCTTAAAAATAAGTACATTGATTAAAAAAAGAGAACGTAGTGTTGTTTTTTTTATTTATATATATTTATACACAGACCGTCTTCTAATTTTTAAGGATAACTCTTTTATTTCCTCTTCCCGTTCTATTTGTTCGCGCTCCATTTTTAACTCTCTTTCACGTTGTGCTTTTTTGTCCGCTTTATCTAAAAAAAAATATTTATATATATTTAATAATTTTCAGTATAGATAAATTATTTACAAAATTATATCAATGTAATCCCATTTTGATAATACTGGCGTCTTTGACCAAATTTTAACTAAATTATAATACTGACATTGTTTGTTTAGTAAAACTTTCATTTTTCTTTTCATTATCTCTTGCGGCGTAGGTTTTTTGTCACTTTGACTCAGCTGTGAACACATTACATTGAGATTATATCTAAATCTATTGTGCTCTAACATATACATAGTAGGGCGATTATAAAAAGAATGTCTTGTAGAAATTTAATCATTGCATTTCCAAATCTCCTACTTAGGACTATGAATACAATATTTATATATAGTCATCATCGATGCAAAATATTTTTTAAAATTAACAATTTTTTTTTGATATTTTCGACTATTTTTTTTAAAAATAATATATAGTTCCGATTGCAATTAAAATTTCACCGGATCAGTTTTAGGGATCGTCCTAATTAAATTAATTATTAATTTAAAAATAATTATATTTATAGATAAACCATGTTGGATAAAATATTGTTATAATTATTAACATTATTTGTTCTATTGCAACATGCTAATGTACTCTTCTGTATTTAACAAATTACTGACTTTTTTACTAAAAGACGCTAAACTTGGATCACGTAACCTGAAAAAGATAATTTTTTTTTTAAACTATAAACTTAAAAGCAGGATGTACCATAATAAAACAACTTACGGAGTTATAATTTTACTTGTATTCTTTTTATCTTTTTTGGTTTCGTCTTCAGATAAACTTAACTCCGATGATGAATCTTTACCTCTACGACCATAATAGCTAAAAATAAGAAAATTATTTGTTAATCCTATAAAATTGTATCATTGAATATTTGCATTACCGCTGAACGGGCGGCGGCTTTTGGGCTGGTGGCGATTGAGGTTTAGGTTCTCTAAATAAAAACAACACATAAAATCATTAATGATTCTGATAACCCAATTACATTGTTTACAACAGAATATATAAAAATTAATTATTTTACTATGTACCCAGTTTACCTGGGTGGCGAAACAGATTTGTTTTTACTTTGTGATCTGTGCTCTCGAGAATGATTTTTAATAGGTGATCTGGACCTTCGGCGAGGCGATCTTGTTCGAGAACATTTTCTTCTAGATGACGAATGCTTAGAGGTAGATTTTGATCTTAAAAAAAAAAAAAAAAAAAAAGAGTTAAAAATAATGTAAATAATTTAAATAAGTAATTTAAATATAAACCCACTTTGAGGTTTTTGATTTATCACTTGTTAGTGCTTGTTCTTCGTCTCCAAAACTTGTTATGTAAGTTACCTGACCTGTGTTTTCAGGAGTCGGTGAACGTGATGTTATCATTGAGGATAGCTGTTCAAAATCAGTATAACTAGGACTTTTCCGAGTGGCGTAACTAAATAAAAATAATAGAATAAATACAACGACTGATTATTAAAAAACCTTTTGTAGCTATAGTCGTGTTAGATACCTCAGTGGACTCAACGCTTTGCCTTCTAAAGCTTTTAATCTAAATGCACGCCGTTCTCTTCTTGATCTCCTTCCCTAAAATTAGCACCACCAACAAATTTGAAATTAATATTAAAAAACATATTTTAATTCATTAGTTTCATGTCACAAAAATTACAGCAAACATGGCTTTTTCTTCTTCGGCCAAGCGTGTCAACTGAATATTCTCTGCTTCTTCGATGTCGTTGTTAAGAAAACTATAAAAATCATTTGTAGTCATTCCGAAATTGTGTGCTGTCGAATTCAATTCGTTAGCTTGATCAGTACTAATTTTAGTAATATCAATAGATAAATCTGTAAATAAAACAATTACTTATTATATTTTTAAATTTAATTTAAAATTAATATAAATACCAAAATCCATTTCACTCTCTTCATCTGATTCGTCAGAACTTTCTGTTTTTGTTTTGATATCTAAATACTTTTTAGAATCATCAATAGTTGTTGTATCTTCTTCATTATTATATTTATATGGGATGGCTGCATTTGCAGCAGACTTTTTTTTGTTATCATCTGTGTCTGGTTTGCCTACTGGCCCAAATTTTTCTTCTAAAAAGAGTTGATGTAAAAATTTACTTTCTGGCACTGAAAAATATGTAAAATTGATTATAATAATAATGTTATAATATTTATAACAGATTAAAGTTGACATTGACGTTTTACTTGCTAAGAACTCGTTTTGAACTAAAATTCTATAACGTTCATAATTGAGTAGACGCTCTTCGTTTGATAATTCTTCTTCACTATCGTCATTTATTACCTCTCTAATAAAATCCAAATGAGCCCTAGCGTCAAATCGATCAATCATTATTTCGTCATTTCCTTGCCAAGGCATCCTATATTTTAATAATAAATTAATTAAGTAAGTAGGTAAATTATTTAAAATAAAACTCATTTGATACGACTTATAGAAATATTTGCAACTTAGATATATTCTGAAATCAATTTGAATTGTAAACTAAAAAATGAATATGAAACATACATAGTTGCTGGGCTGTTAGCAGCAATTGCAATGCCTGGATCAATGTGTATTTTGCATTGACGACCGTGCAGTTGTAAAAACTGTGTTGGATCTGCTTTCTGAATAATAAAGTAATATTAATAACCTTGATTTAATAACTTAACATAATATTTAATGGACTAGTTTTTTTTTTTAATGAACTTACTATTTTTTCATAATAATCTTTTCGTCGTTGCGCTCGCCTTTGGTAATCGACCAATAGACCGCGGATTTTTTTCTCTTGTTTTCTTGCTTCGTGCCACATTTTATATCAATTCTATCATAAGTAGATTCAATTGTTAATTTCAACAAGTTTAAATAGTAAGTCATTACGACATCTGGGTGCCTGTTGTGACTGGCTTACCTGACTTGGTAAAAAAACTCAAATGCTATATAATAAATCTCATCACGCTTTTTTGTACGGTTGCTTGTTAGTCTCTGATAAACGTCAATTGCAATGTTTGCAGTCAAAACATCGCAATATGATACTAATAATTAATAAACGTCTAAAGTCTACACGCTTCACAGTTCATAGCAGCTCCAAATTTTCGTGAATCGTGAATCGTAATCGTTGATTGATAATTGATATTTCAATATTTAATGATAACGTAACGTCATGTCAGTTCACTTCACTCCACGATCATCGTTTACCACTCACTCACGTCGTCTTGTTACTATCAAAATTCTAATCCTTGGTACAAAGCTACTTTGTACCAAAGTAGCGGTTCAGTAACCCAAGTGTTAACCAGTTTTCCCGCGTTTTTTTCTTTTTCATTATCTAAAATATAATTGTTACCATTGATTAAATCAATTTGTTTTGTATTTAATCAACTTTGATTTACAACAAAACATAATATTGTCAGTTTTTTCTCAATCTCGACACAATATTTTAAAATCATTATTCATTTCTTAAATACTTTACAGATATTGAAAATATTAACAATTTGATTTCTATACTTAACAGTTCCAACAATGGAAAAGGATTCCACCGTTTCTATTTCGAAGGTTTGTAGTTTATGTTGTTATTCTATGCAACATGTTGTGTATCATATATGTAATATTTAATTAGTTTTCCTAATTGGCAACATAAATGTCTTGTAAATATAGGGATGTTTTGTCTTCAAAAAATCGAAAAGCCAAAAGACAAGTCAAAGAAAATCGAAAGGAAAAAAACAAATTATTAAAAAAATTGAACAATCTGAAAACGAGCTTTGGCATAGTACATTTCTAGATGTTTGGACTACGGTGAAGTGTAAACTCGATGTAAGTATGCACTGAGTATAAATAATTTATTTAATTGAGTGACACACTAAGTAATGAATTTTAAAATCTATCATGGTGTGTCTAATTTTTTACAGGAATTAAATGATTCGATATATTCAAAATTTATTTCCGAAACTGTCGATTATTTAACAACTGCAAATATTGATGCCTCCAAGGATGTCATTCCTACTGCTTGTTTAATTACAGGTTTTACATTTAAATTATTCTTTTAATTTGTTGATATCTTAATTTAAAGTTGTACTTATGCAAAATGCTTCAAAACGGTTCATCCATTTTAATAAATAATAATGACTTTTTCACCATACTTAGCTTAAACTGCATTTAAAAAAGGGATTTGTGGTGTTGTCTTTTAGTTACCTATAGGTATTTCCTTGACACTGATTTGAGTACTGTGCTTTGATTAGTCTGCGTCATTTGCATCATTCTCTGTCTCTGAGGTCATCACTTGATCTAAATTTTGTCTGACCTGTTTGTGGAATGAATTGTTTTTTATTAGGTTATAATTTTAAAAATCCTGCCAAACTATACACTATGTATTTCATACAATATTACCTGTAGTTATTGCTGTTATAATGTCATAATTATTGTATACATTTCTGTTTATGTTAGGTGTAAATTTGCCTGATCATGAATCACTTTTTGGTTTGTTAACCAATAATTTGGAAAAATGCGAAATGCCTGTTGTTGCAGCAACCTTATTTTCCGAACATTTTACAAGTGTTAAAAACATTGTTACAAGCATGGTATCACAACTATTAAATACACATCACGACGAATCCAAAGTAAGCCTTTGTGCAGATTATTGTTATTATTATTATTGTGTTAGATTCAATCACAGATTGCCTCAATATTGTTATTAGGTACGCGATTCAGATGATAGTGATGATGAAAATATTCCCGTTGTAAAACGATCCGAGTGTTCAATGTCGACCTTGCTTGACTGGTACAAGCAGCAGATGCCTGGTACACGTATAGCGATTTTGGTGAAAGATTTTGAATTGTGCCAAATGTCCGTTCTGCAAAATTTCATTTTACTACTGAGGTTTAATTTTAAAAATAATATTACAAAATCGTATCTTTAGGTTTGACTTGTTGTTTTATTAATTTTGTCGTTTATTTAGCTGCTATTTAGAAAAACTGCCGTTTGTTTTGGCAATTGGTATTGCTACGTCAATATCTAACCTACACAATGCTTTACCACATCACGTTGTCACTAAACTTAAAGTGAAAATGTTTGTGAGCGAAGCGTCTGTTGTTTTTTTGAACAATATCATGGATCAGGTTTGCATGCATTTTAATTAAAAAAAAAACAAAAATACGTTATAGCTTTGATGCAGTATCTTTCTAACAATAATGTGTATTTAATTTTCTTTCACTTTTGTGTCTGGCTCACAATATCATAAGCCGGATCAATTTCTTGATGTAGCAAGTCAATAGATCAAAAATCGTGCCCAAAGATACTTTATAATCAAAATATATAAAAAGTTTACACCTTTCCTTTGAAAATCTAAAAAATACTCGATTAATTTTCTAATTGATATATTTTATTTTAAATAGTTTTTACCATTCAATATCAAAGCATTTATTTGTTATAATTATTATTTGTGTATGGCATGGAAGTAAATTAGTTTGAGCGCGATTGTTTGAGAATACTTGCGTGCGCTCACCACATAATAATAATTTCTTAAGTGCTATGACTCAGGTATGCTCCGTCTCCCCACTATGTCCCTGACCCCATTGTGCTGGCATTTCTCATGATATTCAAGTATAAAATATTAATTACATTTTAAAATGTTACAGGTATTCTTAAAGCCGGATTGCTCGTTTTTTTTAGGCGGTCGAATATTGGAATATGTGACTGAAGTTTTTCTGTACTATAATTTTTCTATCAAGCAGTTTGTTGAAAGTCTAAAAGTAGAAAATTATTATGAATTATACAAAAATAAAATTAACAAAATTAATTAAAAATTGAATCAACTATGCTTTTAGTATTGTCTGATGGAACATTTATATAAAAAACCACTTAGTTGCATATGTGTCGCCCATAAATCAGCTCAAGAGTCTTTGCTTGACAAATTGGATGAAGATTATTTCCAAGAAGCTGCAAAGCTACGATCAACTAATTATAAATTAAAAGTCAACGATGATTTCAAAGTATGTATTTGACGTGGTCGTCATTGGTGCAACATGTATCGTGTTCCGTATTATAGCAATCAATATGTGACTTTTAATTATTAAGTACAACTCATTTGGAATTTTTTAATTTTAGGAAAATTTCTTGCAACTAATTAAAGAATTAAAATGTTGTATCGCAGATTTTCACATAGGCCTGAGAATCCTTCAAGTGTTAGTGTCTGATTTACCTCAAGCACCTTTAGGGACTCAAGTATATAATATATATTTAAATATTTATTACCACACACAATATTCAATATTGTTTATTTTTGTAATATTTATAAAAAAAACTTGATTTTTCGTAGCTCAGAGAAATGTACTGCACTGCGATGAAAAAACATATCATTGATGATCCGTCATTCAAAACATGCTTACAGTTATTGAAATTTTTGTCAAAAGATGATCTCCTATCTAAATTTAATCGAGTAATTATGACATAGAATTTTTTCTAGTGTAAATCAATTTTAATGTTCTCGTGAATGATTTCTACATAAATTATTATTTTCAAGGTGGTTCAGATATTAAAAGAATATCCTAACAACGAACAGGCAAAAAGTGCACTAAAATTAGTTCATAGTTTTATAAAATGTGTTCAAGATTCTCAGTTGAATAGTGTGGGGAGTCACGAAGAAAAGCCTAATGATATAAAACCCAAAGAAAATCTCGAGGTCGCTTCCAGATCTCAATTCAAAAGGGTAAAGATTTTGTATTTTTATTATTGCAGTTGTCACATTATTTATGCAGTTTTTGTATTAAAGATAATTGTTGCCATTAGAAACTTATTGATAACTTGAAACATGAAGATACAAAGCCCATGACGGAGTTTGAAAAAGCCCGAATGGAAGTGTTGGACCATATGACCCTTACGGTATTACGTCAGTTCCTTGTACCTCCGACCACAATGCCCTTACATGAACTTATGATATTTGACGATTTGCTGTCAGTTAAACGCAAAATTGTTGGCGAAGATCGGGCAGCTCAGTACACGGCTCTTGTTAATCCACAACATTATATTGACGTAAAAGTTTTAATTACTAAATCATAATATTCAAGTTCATTGTGAAATGTAAAAAAAATGATTATTTACTCATAATTTTATCGTATTTAGTGCGATTGCTGCGAGTTGGAGTTTACGGATCAAGTATTAAAAACCATGCCCGATGTATGCATAGTTTATAAATTGCATTTAGAGTCTCGATTTGATCAAATAAATATGTATGACTGGCTTCAAGTATGTTTGTATTTGTTTATTTTTATTTAATTAGTCAACATTTAATATTTTTATGTCACATCATATACTAATATAAACACTTAAAAGAGGTCTGTAAAAATATATTAGACTAATTACGAGTTATTTTTGGCATCTCAACATGTCAAATGTACCTCGATTCTATTTTTTCTTTGTTATTAAATGAAAAACAAAGTAAATATCTGGAAAAGACTTTATATTTAAACATTTTCATTTCGGTGGCACCCACCTTTGTTAAAATGGGGCTGGTGTCTGACCGGGTTTGTATCCACATTTGTCTAGTTATGGGTTGCTGATATGATAAGTCTTTATTAATAGGCTAGTCATAAAACACTTCATCAAATTATCTATTGCTAATTAATATGGTTATATTTTTTACAGAAATTTGTTTCAGTTATTTGTCCAAATCAGAATGATGATGAAAAAGACGATAATGATGTTGATCCAGCTTTGCAGTATCCTTTTATTAATAATTTTTATTATATATGATTGCTACAGCCACAATTTTTATTTATACCTGTTACAATTTACAGTAATAATTTCTGATACAATAATGAAATGTTTGAAACACACAAATTTCTTTTAAAATTTTAGCTTTGATGTTAGTATTTTTTTTATAATTCTTCATTAGTTAAAGCCTTATTTTACTACTTATTAGTAGAAAAATGTATAGTACATGATATGTACTTATCTGATACTCCTAATATGCAATTTAATAACCAATCTACAAAATGAATCTGATAAAGAATTATCCATTTTATTTTTATTGCATTTTAAAAAATAGATAAGAATTTGTTATTCAAATACAATACAATAATTCAATAAAGTTATATGTTAGTAATATTACAGTATGTACCCTTATAAATGTATTCGTTAAAACACTTGATTTTCCTTAATGGTTGACTTTGCAGAGCTCGTTTTGTCAAGGCTGTCAATGAACTACAGTATTTGGGCTACATACGACCATCCAAGTACAAGGCCGATCATGTGCAACGTCTCACGTGCGGATCTTGTTGATGATAGTTGATAACCATGTTGTTTTGTAAATTAATTTATTTTATTATTTTTAATGTATTACATTTTTTTTTTAATATACCAAATATCTTGCATTGATATATAAATAAAAAAAATTAGAATTTGCCGTTATTATTACTATTACCCCTTTTCTAGTATTGTTTTCTGACAAAATGAGGACACAATAGTGTCTTGGTGTAATTAACCGCGTGTGCCCCATAGACCTTTTGCTATAGTGTGCTCGAATAAAATCGTTTTGTTATTTATAATTTCCCGACCAGATTCAGGTCGTTTCCGAATTCTTTTTATCATTATTGTTGTTGACTAACACAACAGAAGAAATGAGACAATGGGTTAACGTGTTGTCTTGACTCGTTGCATATCCGCAGGTCACAATATAATAAGTACCTACATAAAGTTGTTAGATTGATGCCTATGCCGAACAAGTACAAATCGAACACGCGGCCTAAATTTTTAAGAAACGTATATAATATATTTTACCGTAATTGATATACCCGAATCGAAACTAACGACTACTGGGAAAACGTATTAACATATTATTAACCTATTACCTAACTACAATAATTTATCGTTTCGCCGAAAACCGCATGAAATGTTTCTCTATAGCTTACCGATTTATAATACTTGGAAAATGTGTACAAAATTTCACTTAAAACCTTCCAAAAATAGTAATTTTTGGATGTTCTCAGAGACGCATTTGATATGAATTTCATTATAAGATTTTATCTAATTGAATCACAAATATAGTTTACAAAACATTTTAGTTCTATCCTCTATCTATAACTGTGAATTGAATTTAACTGGTGTTGGTTAATCCGCAGTAGTCAAATTTTGTAAAATAATATCTCTTTAACCAAGAAATTACAATTTTGAAATACCTACTTTACATATTGTATCGTCTTTTCTTGGTTTTCAAATAGACTTAGTCAAATTATTATTGTAATTTCTAAATTAATTTAGTAGCTACTTAATAAAACTGTTAAATAGTCGAATAAAGTGTTGAAAACAATAATTTTTGTATATATATATAAATATTGTTGAAATTGCCTATACATCACTCCTTAGTAAAAATTGGTAAAGTGCAATAAAAGCAATAACAATTTGCCTATAGGATACTCCTTAATAAATAAAGTAGTATAATACTCGTAGTAAAATATGCTGTTTGCTTTTGGTACATTGGCACATATTTTAGGACAAGTACTAAATCACATATTTTAAATAACGTTATTATTACACGTCTTATGGTTTTAAGTGTGAAATTTCAGCGTTGTGTCAGTTTAAAAAAAATGTTAAGTAAAGAGACTAGACCGTTGAACATGATTAGGTAGTAACGATAAAAATAATAGTACAATCATCTGTACCATGTTGTTAATGTGACGTGGCTTATAAATTTCAATTATTATCATAAAGGGGTTATGATAAACTAATGGCAATTATTTAATGTAATATATTATTAGGCGTTGTAGACAGTCAATCTGCCAACCTGCCTTCTTTAAAATTCCCTGTGTCTCTAAGAATACATTATTTTAGAAATAATAAAAACAAACAATTATTTAACATCTACTAGTCCATTAATATTGTTCAACGTGGGCAAATTTAATCAGACCATCAACTCATTATTATCTTATGATGATAATTTGATTTATACTTTATTTATACATTTAGATGCATTAAGTTTCATTCAAATATCCTAGTGACACTTTTTGATTTAAACACACGTTTTTGCTGCAGAAATAATATAATAATTAATAATAACAGTAAAGGTCTAATTATTGTTACCATATCCTATTTAGACATCAATTACTCAAAGAACATAATGTAATTATATTACTTATTGTGCTCACCAATCGGTTTAATTTTTAATTTTACTTTTCTATGTAATACATTTATAATAAATAAGTACACGCTAACTAGTAGGTACTGGTATTGATCACTAATTGAACATGACTCACAAATTCCTTTTCATTGATGTTTATTTTACCGGAAATTTATATAATAATTAATGTTCATTACATTGGATGGAAACAACTATTATGGTACAAAATTGGTACACTGCATATTTTATATTTTAGTAACCCGTTTAAAAAAATTCGAAATGTTCACTCAAATTTTGGAAGAATAAAATGTAAAATCTCTCTTTGGAATTCATGTTTGCCATAGTTATAAAAATATAAAAACTAACTTTCAGAGAATAGTTAAATTCTATTTTATTATAGGACCTATTTTAGACTCAAAATAATACGAAGAGTGGAACCTATGCAGTTAATAGTTATGATTACGTAATATTTGTGTACAAACTTTTTATGATCAAAACTATAAAATAATGGGTTCTAAACTTTGTAGTTAGCTACGGCACTTATATGTACATATCATATTAAACTTTTTGCAAAAAAAGTTTTTGCCATAAGAGTACACGATTGTACGTAAAATATCAAAATAGTCTATTTTAAAACTTATTTTCAAATAAACATTTTTTTAAATGTTGAAACAATTTAAATATTAACAAATATATTTGATACAATCACCAAATGGTCACCAATATTATATTATGTTCCTTTGAAACTTTTAATATTTTGTTAAGGGCCGACCCTGGCATGTAAACATAGGGAAAATAATAGACAATAATGGACAAAACGTTTAAGAATAACAAAAATTCGATCATGATAACAAGCTTATTTTCTTATACGTATAACATTTTTTTATGGAATAGAAGACACCTTGTACAGTGATTGGATTTCTCTTCTTTTTTTTTTTTTGAAAGAGAAAAACATCCTCCACCTATTTTTCTTTGATCTTTAGTATTTAGGTGAAAAAAAACAGAATCATTTTTTGTTAATACTATTTAATTTATTGTATTAGGGTAACATAACCAGTAAACATTCTTTTTATTAAAACTAATATAGTCTAAACATATTTGTACAATATTACGAAATAATATAAATAAATATACAGCATTTTTTAAGTAAAACTAAGTCCTACAGGATTTTGAAAATTATTTTGTGAAATAATTAAAAAAAAAAAAACTATGTTGGCAAAATTTTTCAACGCTAATTATTTGATCATTTTTCAGTGTTGTGTTATTCATTTTCTACAGGAACAAACATTGAATTTCACATGGATTACATCCAATTGATTATTGAAGTGGTGAGGATCAAAAGGTCGTTAGTGATTTTTATTATGCAATTTAATGAAGAGTGAAGAGCGAATTGCAAAATGAATATGATGCTTTCAAGTGTTCTTATATGGGCGATGTTTATTTGTTTTTTCAATATCTCTTTGATAATGTATGAACAATTACAAAACAATGTACAATCCTAGATAGAAATAGTATACATTGGCAAATGTTTGACGGTCAAAAACTTGGTTGTGATAACATTGTCTCTTGCACCCTTCTGATGCAAACCGCGATAGTTGATATTCACGGCGTTAACTTAAAGATAATAATATTTAAGCCGTGCACACACTCGCGTGGACTAAATAAATGTATCTAATATTTGCAACGATAAATCGTGTTTGACTACAAGGCGTTTTTGACGAGTTAAGATTTTTAACTTGATTATTATTTTTTTTTTTACATTTTTTTTCCGCCGTTATAGTCGCGTACAGAAGGTAGACCGCTTGTTGCAATCATATTGGCCGGGTACAGTTAATTTATAATGCTTTTCATGGTAGACGATCGTTGCAGTTATAATGACCGACTATATAGGTTTGTATGTACATATATATATAACACATTTAAAAATTAAAAATAAATAAACGTGCGAATCAAAACGGTTACCGTTCGTTTTCATTGGGTTGTTACGGTATAGCTGTAAATGTTGTTTCAGAGTTCACTTGAATTTGACCCGATTTCTGTACTTAAGTATCAGTATAACAAAAAAAAAAATAAAAAATAAAAACTACTCGTTAACATATTACGCATGCACGCAAGTACAGTAATAAATAACGAATACAAAAACAATAACATGATATAGTGGTGCTTAAAATTATTGGTAATAAATACAATGTATATTATTAGTACGGTAAAAGATACATAATATTTTATGTACTCATAGATAATGTTTGTATATTTGTAATAATTGTGGTCTGGGAAGTAACGGCCGTAACCTTGTACGTACAGCGATAATGAACCTGAACAGTGATTACAATTATAATAACGTTATGTCGTAACTCGTGTAACACACACAAATACAATATATACACCTACATATTATAATATTATGTATCAAGGAGGATTGAAAATAAAAATATTTTCCAATCAACCCACTTGATTAAGACCCACGCCATGTTGTTAGAATTGATAATACTTATATTTTTTCCATTATGTATTTCATTTTTACAAACAATAAAAATATATCGAATCCAATCATACATTTTCATAGAAAAAGTTCATTAGTATATTTTATTGTACCTCTAATGCAATATATTTATTATGCATTTGATTTTAGAGTCCATCCTTTAATGAAAATAACATTAACAATTAATTTTTTAGTATTGTTTAGAGGTATTTTTTTGTGTAAACATATCAAACAAATAAATTATTAGCTGAAAAGTACTTTTGTTTAATTGTACAAAATGTTTTAATATAAATATGAAATGTTTTTTTGCTGTATGGAATATGAAATTTTGGTAAATAATATTACACAGCAAAGAATGATGACAAATTACATAAAATATTTTGCTTAAATTGACAACAGGTTTAAAAATAAAAGTATATAAAATAAAATACAACTATAATTTATTATAATAATACCAAAGATAAGAATAATTTAGAATTCAAAAATTACAATTAGGTATTTCAGCATAGTATATATGTGTAACAACTGTGAATAAGCGGGTAAGTTGATTTTAGTGATTTTATAGGTGAACGATTTTAAACTTTGACCAGCTGCCATAAATCAGGATTTTATTTAAAAGTTAAAACATTTGATTTTTTATGATCTTCTTATATTGATAAATACTTTAAAGATACTCGAGTGGTTTCTTTCAATTTTAAAATCGCTCCCCTGTAAAATCACTGATATCGACTTACACTTATTCACAGTTGTTACAGATATAAAAGTGGAA